GAGCCGGCCGGTCTCATTTTTACATATTAATATGTTTGCGGGAATCACCCAATGAGGGCTCTTAGAAAAACCCGCTTGGCTGATCGATCTGAGACTTCAGGATCCCCTTCTTATTATTATTATAATGAAGAAGTTATTCCAGTATATGTGTGGAGTGTGGAAGGGAAGTGTCCCCAATAGCTCTGTATGGAGGGTGAGACAAACCTCGTGCTGGTGTTTTTTTTCCTGACTAGTAGTACTATTACTACTAGTAAAAACTGTGCGGTTTTCTTGTATTCATAACCTGATGCAGATTTGGTCCAGACATTTGCCTTCTTACCTCATATTCACCTTCATGTTACCAGTAGTACATAAACCTATTGGTACATACTTGCACCCATGGGTTACCCCTGCTCACGCCTACATGTCTCGATCTATGACTTTCACGACTTAAAGAGATTGTGCTCCCCAAGAGCCTTCTCAATCAACAATATTAACAACACAGATTTTGCATCCATGTTTCAGATGTCCATACAGAATCAGCAAGCAATTACTCAGAAGTCTTTGCAACAGCAACAGGCAATNAATATTAACAACACAGATTTTGCATCCATGTTTCAGATGTCCATACAGAATCAGCAAGCAATTACTCAGAAGTCTTTGCAACAGCAACAGGCAATTGCCTTGCAACAACTACTACAGGCAATGGCTGCAGTTATGGAAAAGGAGTCAAAGCATTGCAATCAAACCATTAAAGAAATCAAAGACATCCTTCTTTCACTTGCAGGAACTTTTGGCAGAAACATTTGCAAGAGGAGAAAGTACTCCTCTGATTTGGAAGATTCAGATGACTCCTCAGAATAATCACATTGTCACTTGATTATTTTATTATTGTTACTAGTAATTAAAATTAAAATAATTTTCAATTTTCAATTTATGAGTACTTGGTTTGCAATTTATGAGAGAACTCAGGCAGTACTAATTTATGTTCATGATGCTTTGTGTTAGTTGGAATCATTSTGTTGGTGCCCTCTTAAGAAGGGAACACGCCAATCATGATGGGATTGCTTCTATGTACTTCCATGTGACTAGTRTCCAAAAATATACATTGTTGGACAACAATTCCAATGCGGAAACACATATTTTTGCTCTCTGCCAGCAGTCTCAGTGTTTGTGAGAAGGTATCATGCAAGAAAACTGGCAAGATAGAGTGTATAATGAACACAAAATAATAGAGCGTATCACACAAATTCCAAAGAAAGAAGAATTCAATTTTAGTTCCTCGTCCTTCATAATGCTAACTGTAGTAGTACAATCTAAAATCAATACTAGCTAAAAATCTTCCACTAAAGAAATAAAGAACAATCAGCTCCACCATAGTGGTAAACAAAAGCCGGCTCTCGCTCCTGTCATCGTTACTAAACAACAATCAGCTCTTGCTCTTGTCATTGTTATACCAAACCAGGAAACAAACTATTTGTGTCCATGTTGGGCTCCATATGATGATACCAAAAGTATCCTATTTGGTGTTTCATCAACTCTTCAAAGGATTCAAATTGCAACAAATACGGTATAAGGGGCTCAGTTGCGAGTCCCTAGGACTAGACCCCCTACACACCTAGTACATGCCTACATGAGGTACAAGAGTACCAAGCATCGTGACATGATGTGTCACTACATCAGAATTGTAAGAACCCCTGTGGATGATGTACAAGGATCTACAGGGAATAAGATATATCTAAAGTGCTTGGCATCTCCCAAAGCAAGGCACAGCATGTAAAAAGATRTTGACACTTTAGATACCAAATAAGATTTATAAACTTTTAAATAAACATCATTTTGTGCACAATCTATTGGTATCACTCATGAAGGTGTCAAGGATTGAATAAATGCCAACATCACTGCATTTATAATGATAAAAAAGCAATAATAGATTGGGAATGATCTTCCTATCACCCAATTCTTCCAGTGTAAGCCTCTCCTCCATTCTTTGGAATTGCCCTCAGATCATGCACATTCCCCATATGGATAACTGCCAAACAGTCATGGCTTGCCTGATTATTCCTACAGTCTGGGTGTTCTCCCTCATGGTGTCAGCTGTATCAGGATCATTTTCCTGGCTAGGATGAGGTAGTCTGTTCCTTTGGCCTTTAACACAGAATTGGCAACAAGTCCCCCCGCCCCAGTCCTAGTTATGTATGGCTTCCATCTTGTCATATATACCATAATCAACCATGGTACTGTCATCCCAAGTCCCAGGGCAGTTATATGTGGCCACCCAGATTTGCTCCTCTGGAACAAACAACAAGATAAGGGCACTGCTGTTTACTTTCATGAGTACAATGTTGTGCTGTGTTGTCTGCCTGTCCCTTTGACACCTTTTAGGGGTGAGTCTACGACACATCCTGTCGTCCTCCTCCTCCTCATCTTCAAGGGAAACAGCATTAATTGATATGTTGTAGTAGCATTGGTTTCATGAAAATCTGAAATGATTCTTGTTTGTGCCACTTGTTGGCACCACTGGAATCTTGTGTCCAAATGTGCACTAAATTGAAGGGTTCCAAATTCCTGAAAAGTTGGGGAAAGAAATACATTAAAAAAACCTGAATTGTATTTAATATATCATTTCCAATAACATTAATATATGTCTTTTGGACCAGTTTGCTAGTTTTATGTACTCAAATACATATTTTATTGGAATCCTTGACTAAACATTTTCATTCTCRTGAGTGGGTGCACCTTAAGAGATTCACTGGGCACTCCATGAGGAGGAATCTTGTGGCCAAGAACTGGTACACACTAAGTTATATGGGATTCCACATTCCTGAAAAGAGGGGGAAATATGAACTTCCAGGGCGCCTGCCTTGTCTTAAGTACCACTGAAAACATTCCTGCTAACACAAATCAGTTTAAATATGCAGGAATGAACCATTGAGGAGGAGCTGATTTCAGCAATACTAGATTTGCTAGTACATGAATGTCATTCTTGATGGACAAAGGAAGTAGTAGTAGTAKTGGTAAAGATATCAAACTGGACTGTATGGACTGCATGATCCTCCCTGTTGGCTCCATCCTTCTTGTTCTTCCTTTCTTCCCTGTTATTGTCAGAATGGATCCTCTCCTTGTGGTTTCTGATCCTCCTCCCTCTATCTGGGAAGGCTATCCCAGTGGGGAAGGGCAAATCCAGCTATTACTACTAAGGAGTTTCTTGCTGCTGAATCATGGAAGGGCTTAAGGAAACAAGAACTACTACGGTAGGAGCAATAAGAAAGTATCAAATCTGTTTGCCCTCCAAAATACAGTTACACTTCCGTGTGCAATTTGCTATGAACTTGTGAATTACTGTACTTCGTAAGAGCTATCAAGTCGTCTTGCTCTAAACTACGTWGTATGTTATATGTTATGGACTATGATCGCGGCAAATGCACAAATAGTTGTAATCTGTCACATACAAATTGGAACCTAACATAAAATTTTTTAAATTCATATTCGCAACAGTCGAAGTTCACATAGCTACGCTTTAGAAGCACTTGCGGTGAACAATCGATGGGCCAGCTTCATCGTATTCTTCTTTGCTGATCCACATACTTTGGAAGGTGGATAGAGATGAAAGRATGGATCCTCCAATCCATACTGAGTATTTACGTTCTGGAGGGGCAACAATCTTCACCTTAATAGATGCAGGAGCCAGCGCGGTGACTTCCTTGGACATACGCTCACTGATTCCAGGGAACATGGTGGTACCTCCAGAAAGAACAATATTGGCATACAAGTCTTTTCGAATATCAACATCACACTTCATGATAGTCTGGAAAGTACTATCAGCAATGCCGTCCATCTCAAGACCAGTCAAGTTGGGCTGGAACAAAACCTCAGGGCATCGGAATCGCTCATTTCCGATGACAATGATGTTGCCGTCAGGCAATTCGAAGGACTTCTCCAAAGCAGAAGACTCAGCRGCCTTCTTCATCTCTTCTTCAAAGTCAACAGCGATGAAACAAAGAGATTCCTTGATGTCACGCACGATTTCGCGCTCGGCAGTGGTTGTCAACGAGTAACCACGCTCGGTCAAAATCTTCACCAAGTAATCAGTCAAGTCACGTCCAGCAAGATCCATACGGACAACAGCATGAGGAAGGGCATATCCCTCATAGATAGGGACAGTGTGTGAAACACCATCTCCAGAGTCCAATACGCAACCGGTGGTACGTCCGGAAGCATACAAGGAAAGGACAGCTTGAATGTTAACATACATGGCAGGGACATTAAAAGTTTCAAACATGATTTGGGTCATTCGCTCTCTGTTAGCCTTAGGATTCATTGGAGCCTCAGTAAGAAGAACAGGATGGGCTTCAGGAGCAACACGAAGCTCATTGTAGAAGGTGTGGTGCCAAATCTTTTCCATGTCGTCCCAGTTGGTGACAATACCGTGCTCAATAGGGTACTTCAAAGTAAGAACACCTCTCTTGGCTTGGGCTTCGTCTCCGACGTAAGCATCACGTTGTTCCATTCCAACCATGATACCAGGCTGACGGGCACGACCAATCAAGGAAGGAAAGACGGATCGAGGAGCATCGTCTCCGGCAAATCCGGCTATTTTATCACGTTTAAATCATCAATAAGAACGGCGTGAGAGAAATGTCAATCCTTTTAAACACCACCGAAGTAAAGCATAAGTTTTGTTGTTGTGGCAGCATCGAAAGAATGTATCCATTCGAAATGGATTCTGGACTCATGAAAATATCTTTCCAACAGTATGGTGGTGACATTTATTGGCACAAAATGTACCCGAACCGTCAAAATGACCGCACATCCRTCTTTCCACAAAAATCTCCAGTCGCTTACCTTTGCACATTCCGGAACCGTTGTCGACGACAAGGGCAGGGACGTCTTCGTCATCATCAGCCATTGTGAGATAGTTTTCTATTTATTTCTATGAACTTTTATAAGAGGATGCTCAACTTGTTGTTATTCAAGTGAATTTGATTTTATGACAGAGGACGGGAGTAGCACGAAGACTTTTTGCTGTTGACACTGTAAGCACACGAATGTACGGTAGGGTACTTACTAAGAGACTGGTTTTTGAAAATTTGGTTCTTGTTTAAGTTTTTTTGGGAGGAAAGTAGCGTTGGCGTGGCGTGCGCCCGCGCATGCATTGGGAATTTTAAAAATTGTTTTTTTTGGTTTTCTTCTGACGAAGATCTCAAAGCAAAGAGTACCAAATCTCATGACCCGCCTACCGTACAAAATGTACCGTCCTGATCGATGTAATCTCGTTACTCTTGTTCAGTACCTTGCACGCACTACGGCGGTGTTACGGTACGTGCCTGGCCTAGGAACAGGGTGTAAAAAGTAAAAAACCAAGAAACCAACCAAATCTGTACGGTACAAAACCATGCAAATTAGAGTCATAAGCAGAAGGCGGGGCTCGATAGGCGGTACGCTACGTCGTACGTAAGGTTCGTCCTACAGCTACGCTACGAACCTTAAAGTTGTCAAAAGTTCTGTCCTCCCATCGGTTTGATATAAATTCATTGGAATTACGAATTACGCTTCCGGTTGCGGTAAAAAAAGATACAGCTGCTTCCAAGTTAGAAGTACGATACTTACCAAATTCAGTACGTTTACCGGCAACTCTACCGTACCTTCATTTGTCTTTTTCTCGATTTCTCCGACAAGAAAAGAAATCCTCAAACTTCGTCCGTTATCGTGGTTGTCGTCGTCATCGTTCGAAGAACTGAGAATCTCTCAGCGGAATATCTACTTTTTCAAATAAATGCCTTGTTCTCAACTAAAATGGCGTCTTTCCAAGAACGACTACACCATGCGATCTCCGAGTACGGGGGCGTATATGACCCGGTCATGCGACGATCCTTTCAGACGGTTCTCATGTTCGAGGCCAATCGTTGCCTCAAGGACAAAWTGCCTTCTCTTCGTCCCTTTCAGCGGAAATTAGCAGTGTTTGATCAAGCGAAATATCTGTTGGAAGAAATCAGCGGTGAATCGTCTATGGTGGGGTTGGATACACAGGGAAAACGGGAAGAAATCATGTGGAGAACAGGAACCAGCAGGGAACCGCTAAATCCGGAATCGATGTGGGCGAGGGCGTCCAGACTGTCGAAGGATGTCGAAAAAGTGGCCGAGCAGGTASAAGAGTTTATGAAGAAGAACACAAAAGTTTCATCGACATCGACGCACGACGAAATTTATCGGTCTTTTGTAGAAAACATCTACGACAAAGCGCACCCAAACATTGAGCCAGGGTCTGAGCCCTATCCCATTCAATTTGAATATACCCACAGTCATCTATTCTTAGCCTACAAAATATATTACCGGAAAGKCGAACTCGATCCGTATTTTCCCGAGCCATGCGCACGAGAAATTAGTGTACCCCGAGAGAAACCAGCAGGTGGTTTAGAATCTTACAACCCCATTCTTCCAGCCGCATCCACTACTTCTAGCCTTGGAGCTACCATGAACAGGACACCTGGTCGCTCCACTTCAAAAGTCGCAAGATCTCAACCAGCAGCAATTGTGCTTCGAGAATCACCTTTGATTGTAGCTGCTGGCCAAAAGGCGTCGGCCGCGTCGGCGGCCGCTCATACCACGGGGACCAGCTTGTTGAACGGTGGAGTTGGTGACGCCAGACGCTATCAGCAGCAAAATCACATGAGGCAGGATGTCCCAACAATACAGCAGGAAAATGAAAGAAGTCGTCGAGATCTATTGAGGGAAGTGAAGGATCACATGGAGTTGCTTAGTCAATTCGAGGGTGTCATTGATTCTGCTACTCTCAAGAAGCGTAAGCGGGCTCTATTTTATTCTTTGCCTCCACCTCCACCGCCAAACGAGAAAGAAAAAAGGAAAGCATCGAAGAAACTGGGTGAGGGGCAGGGGAGTGGCAGTGAAACAGAAAGTGACGATGACAAGAAAGCCGATTTGGCCGCTTGACAAAAAGGGGTCTAGTGGCTACTTCTTGTGCTGTGGTAGCGATTAGATATAAATCGATAAGAGCCAATAGAGATGAAATTAGAGCACATCCTTTTTCAATTTCTTCTTCGTTATTTCTTCAATCCTACCATTTTGAAGAGATCAGTATCGTGAGAACGCGGGAATGAAAGAACGAGCTACTTCTAGGCAATCGAGATGAACCGAATCTCAATGAAAAATCCAATTGATAAATTATCATCAGTTGCTTCGCATGRTATCTAGAATACAATTCAGTAATAAGCTGCCCATTATCATAGATTACCAATTATAAGTCTGGCTCATACACGAACAAGAATATTCCTCGCACAGCTGACAATCTATACATTCACAAATCTTTCTCCACACCGCCCACAATTTATTCATTGCGACTAGGTTTGAGAAGATGCGTAATACTCACAAATACTCACTTCTTACAAAGTACTAGAGATTCACATACAAAGCTTCGTTTCATTTGCAGAATGTTAGTAATGAAATGGTATCGGTTGTTTCGCAGAAGCTCCAGAATAAGCTAGTGACGAGCCACACACCCAAATTTCCTCTTCTTAGCTTTTTACTGTACGTATTTAACAAGGTATTAAAATTGACTTAATTGCAAGGACAAGTCATCATTTGTAGGTTCCAGTACATTGTCACCGATGAAGGAGGGATATGCGAAAACCACTGATTCTTAGAATCTGTATGCAGACATTAATAATTGAAACATCCACAATAATGTCGCAACCTACATTATCTTGCTGCGTTTTGTCTGTTGTACCTGAAGAGGCACTTAGGCCCAGCTAGCACTTAATGATTTGAATTCCACACCGCAAGCCTCGATTTTCTTCACAGCGTCCTGGAATCCATCTTTTTCTCGTCGTCGTTCTGCTGGATCCGTAATACTCATGTTGTGGTATTCTACCACGAAAACAACTCGATTGCCCAACGACGTCAACTTGCACAAAATATCCGATGCGGCTACCTCTTTCAAGACCTGGTATTCTGCACCCTCCACATCCATTTTGACAATGAGAAGCCCACCGGATTGCTCCTCCTTAGTCGCATCTGCTTTTAGCGCCATCATAGTCGATTGTACCATAGTTGAAAGCTTTATACCCGTTACATCGGCACTGAAGGTATTGCCATTATTGAGTTCGTTTGCCGATTTTACGGCATCCTGCTGACTAGACAGAATACTGGAACCCCAGAACTATGACGAATGGAAATGTTTTCAAGGCAAATGAAAAGTTAGAGAATCGAAATGTTTCATCCACAAAACATAGTTTCTATGCAGTCGTGCCATATTCAAATGCCTCGTTTATTTCCACGATAAAATTCGCAATTTCAACCCATTCCATTTGATTCATACAAAAATATGCAAGCAAGAAGAAGTTTGTAAATTTCTTACGTTTTGTTCCACAGACGTTTTGTCAAGGTACAACTTCGTTGGTCCGTCTGTTGCCGTAACTACCGATTCTGTAAAAATGTGCACATGTTGAATAGGACGCGGGTTCATATCRTTGATAAAGTTTTCTAGCTTGGTCAATCGTTCGGTGAATGTTGGATTTCCCTCCATACCATATACACAAAAGCTTTCAGACGTTGCCGACGGCGATTCCTTCATTTGCTGTTGCAACAATCCAAAGAGCGGGTTCGCTTTGGATCCCCGATGACTAAATTCGAGACTCGTCACATTAAGATGTGGTCGTGGGAACCACCTAACGCCTAATTTTGTTTCTGGGTTGGCAGCGGCCCACATGGGACTGCAAACATCAATGGCATTATCGATAAAGTATCCGACTGAGTCCCCAATATTGCTACCGAGATCGATGAAAACGTTTCGGCAGCGCTGATAAGGGTTCTCTTTGGAGCCACTAATCTTAGATGGTTGGGCATTCAAGGAAATTTTGCTCACAAAGGATCGTTCTAACGATTCCTTTTGATCCATGGCAGCCCCATCAACATTTTTTCCAATAGTTTCAATCAATTCGTTGCATTTGTTCTTGGAGGAGTCTCTCCATTCCATCATAGATCGTCTCCTCTCACCAGATAAGGAACCATACACCATATCAGTCGATGTTGCTCTCGACACGTAACTTTCCATTGTCGTGATTGTAGATGTTTCTTTTGTCAAAGATACGAAAAGGACCAGCACAGTAACGACCGTCACAACAATAATTATTCTCGAAGTGGAACCATCGTTCTTCCGGGGGAATTTTGGCAACGCCATTTTTGTTGATCTGACGGGCTTGTGCAATCCAACTTTAGTTGAGAAGAGGAGAATCTCACTACTGGTATGTATGTAATTGTGGTGTGAACTTTCTTGCCTAAGGATTGTAGTTTTGTTGTCTTGAGAACGACGACTGTACGAACCGTACGAACCTATGGCAACACTATTTTTGCTCGACTTCCCCGTTCGTCCTGGCAGAACAGTTTGAAAATGTGAAAAGAAACTGCCATTCCGGTAATCCTCTAGAAGCACGTATCAAACGGGGAACATTTCACAAAAAACCTAGAAGCCGTTACGCCAGCCCGCACAAGTCAATTTTGACTGGCGTTTGATTTGAACGATAAAAATATTTCTTTACCGCTACGTACCTGGTAGTAGTGCGATACGTATTGCGTATTGCAACATTTATTAATCGTACCTCCTCATGAGGTACGGTATGTATGGTACCATACGAGAGTACGAATGTCGCTAAAAAAGAGTTACCAATTTTTGACAGATCGACTATCGGACTATCGTGCTACCGGCACGAATGTACGTACATACCATACGGAGGTACCGTAGTGTCATGTTAACTCTCTTCAGAAATTTCATGTCGTAGGTACGTACTACCATACATACCATACGTATTGTATGTTGATCCATAAGACAAGATACGGTAAATAGTAAATAGACATTGGACGTTGCTTGCGAACGTTTCCCATGCAGTTTCCAAAGCGCGCGATGATGCGCGGTCCCAAAACAAGAAGAGCCTTTTCGATGGGGGCATCTCTCCTTTTTAGATGTAAACGTAGAAATACGATGCCTTCCAATGCGCTTCCATCCGGTTTGAGGCCTTACAGTATATCGTTTCGAATAGTGACGGAAGGAAGCCAAATTGGTAGAACACGGTCATACTGAGCAATTAAATACCTTAATCAGAACCAGCCACGCTTAGGATTCCTCAAATCTGAAAATATGTTGAGTCCCAACCACGAAAGTGAAGAGAAGGAGGGCCAAGATAGCACACAAGCCATCAGAGAGAACGATGGAGGCAACGAAGCTGCTCCTGCCACTGTAAATCCTCAGCAAGTAGTAGTATCCAATACTTACACAACCAACGTCAATCCAAACAATCCTCTGCCCTTGGATTGGACGAAGATGGGAGAGGGTCACACAGCCGAAGATTTGATGCCTGCGAGATGCCCCCATGATGTAGCGATATGGTCACCGGAGGACACGGACATTTGCCTTGTGGGCACCGCAGGACAAAAGATCACGCTATTGGGTGACGACTTTTCCGACCCAGAGCGAACAAATCTCTCGGAATTGATTTCCTTGGTGCTGCGATCTCATCTCATAAAAGATATGTCGGGGATTGGGTGCCTGCCAAAACTGGAAAAGCTCGAACTTTATGATAACATGGTCCAAGCCCTTGACGAGGAGAGCTTGAAAGGATGTGGCCCTTCTACTTTAAAGATTTTAGATATGAGCTACAATTCAATCCGAAGCATGACACCTGTGGAATTTTGCAATGGAGAAACACTGACGGAATTGTACCTCGCCAACAACAAGCTAAAAGAAATCAGTGGCATCAAACACTTGAAGAGTTTGCGCAAGTTAGACTTGGGTGCAAACAAAATTCGAGTTCTTAGTAAAGATGAGCTATCCGGATTGGATAGTTTAGAAGARYTATGGGTTGGAAAGAACAAAATCGTGACTCTTGATGGAATCCAGTCGTTGACAAAATTACGACGCCTAGACGTCCAGTCGAATCGATTGACCTCCCTCTCCAACGAAGATGGTATTTGTTATTTGAATTCGCAACGAGAAAATCTCGAAGAACTATACCTGGGTCACAATGGCCTTGACGATGACGGTATTTCGGGATTAATATCTCTTACGGGTCGTGGTGGTAGCACCATAATGTTCCCGAAGTTGAATGTTTTGGATCTGAGCCGCAATCGATTGAAAACCACCGCTGCATTGGTGGTCGACGCTAAGAACGATAATGTTTTTGCAGAATGGCCGATGCTAGAGGAATTGTGGTTGTCGGGAAACGCAATCGAAAACTTTGAAGCCGTTTACCCGTTGAAGGAAGCATCCGATCGCAAGCATTTGCCACTATTGGAAACCTTGTATTTAGAGTACAATCCCGTGGGGAAGGAGTTCGAATATCGCAAGAAATTGGCTGAGTTCATACCTTCGCTGGATCAAATTGACGCGACAAAGATTCGAGGATATGGTAGTGTCCCTGTGCCGTTGGGCGCTGGTATTGTAGGCACAACAGAAGAGCAACTTCGGCAATTCCAAGCGGCGGCATTTAAAAGGGCCGAACAACAACGACAAAACGCTTGAATTCATGAATGAAGTACTGGCGACATTATTGCGAATTTTTTAAATATTGGATGTTGACGACTGAATACGTCTTGTATGGTCAGATGCATTTGATATGGATCCGTTTGAAGGGTGCAACTAAATTAATTATATGATTTCTCGACCAACTCTTCCCATTCTGCAGAGAACTCGTACTTAATCATTTCTAGAGGGTCTATTTCAACTATTCGATTTGCTTACATTGTGCTTAGCTTACTAATTCTATCATCTCCTGTTGTATTCCTTGCATCCTGTCTGAACTATCAATGTTGTGCTTGTCTTCCAGATTTTGGTTCCTTAATTTTTCAGTCAACATATCTCTGTTTTACCTTGTCTGAAATCACTTGGTATACCAGTATAGCCAACTCTTAGAAACTGTCCTGGATCATTTGCTACTATGAATCATGCAACTACTGCTTAACTGTGCAATGAATGTGCAAGTGTATACTATGTAGTAATAAAATAAATCTCTATGTTCAGTTAATGTTACTTTACAGATTAGTAAAGTAAAGAAAAATGAGATTTGTCTCACTGATTGTTCTTGTTGATCAGATTTGCTGTCTGGGTCCGGTTTTGGATTGTGTTAGTACGTAATACGAAGTAGTTACTCCAGGACCAAATTTCCAGGTGATTTCAAATTTGGCGTCCATTAGTACTTTTCGACGCAATACTGTACCGTATTTTGACCAACAACAACAAGTCTCGCAAAAATCTCAATCTCAAAATACACGTCATTCCTCGTTTTCCTGACTAAACGAAACCATACAGGTAGAACTTGCTGGTACCGGTACGTAGGTGCAGTATGCAGCATGGAATCAAAATCAGACTCCATCGCAAAGCTTCGCAACCAGAGAAGATATCCCGCAAAACGCGCAAAAACACATCCAGTGCTGGGATCAGGAGCAAGTTAACCACCTATGTTTAGAAAAGATGCCCGAGCTGCCCGAGGTTCAAAATTTTCGAAGGCTCCTTTTGTCTTTGATATCTCAAGAACACACATTGAGATTGGAGCGCCATTCCCTCGAGAAGGCCCCTCCTCGGAAATTCATTAAGGACGAAGAGATCGACGAAATCCATTCCTCGGAATTTATGGTTTCGGATGTGTTGAGAAAAGGCAAGCTGATATGTATGGTATTGACAAACAGGATCAAACCGAAAGACAGGAAGGGGAGAAAAAATGCCGCACCGGCACCAGCACCAACCACAAAATATCTCTTCCTTCACATGGGGATGACCGGGCGGATTTCTACGCCTGACTGCATCCCGAAATTACAGGAACTTTCCGACGCAAATATCTACCCCCCACCGTACACGTATTTAAGACTGATCGCTGGGCCAAATGAAGCATGTTTTTCCGATCCTCGCAAGTTCGGCGCAACATACCTCAAAGATGTCCTGTCGGACGATTTCGACGTGCTTGCGCCCGACGCATGGCTAGATACTCGCCCTATCAAGTCCGAAACCGCAAATCTAGAGAAAGACATGGCAAAAGGCATAGTGGAGAACGAATCTTCTACGCTGTCCACTATCTTATCAAAACTGACGGACCAATCGATGGGAATTAAGGGAATTTTGTTGGATCAAAAACGAGCCATGTGTGGGGTAGGAAACTGGGTCGCCGATGAGGTTCTGTACCAAACCAGAATGCACCCCGATCAAAATTATTTGACTAACGATCAGGCGAGGATTCTTGTTCATCGATTACACCTCATTTTGGACGAGGCCGTTCGATGCCTCTCCAAGGACAAGGACTTCCCTCGAGAATGGCTATTTCATTACCGATGGAGCAAACGGGGGAGCAAGTCCTCGGCCGTGAAAGATTCCACGGGCCGGTCAATCGTATTTGTGACATCGGGTGGGAGAACCTCTGCTGTGGTCCCCTCACTCCAAAAGAAAAAGTCCCAGGCTCCGGCAAGAACGCCGGAAGCCTCAAAAAAGAAGAAAGAGACCAAGGCCACGACAACGACAACATCGCGAAGAAAGAACGATATAAAWTCCGAAGAGACGCCAACAAAAGCTGAAAAAAAAACAAAAACAAAAGTAAAAAAAGAAAGTGGCGGAGTGTCAAAGCCACCACAACCCAGAAGCCGAAAACGCAAAGGTTCTTCGGAAGACGCGCCGGCTGGCATCCGACGAGGCACGAGACGAAGTCCCAGATTCAAAAAGCTCTGAGGGAGGAATCTGGGTATCGGAAAGTTCTTTGTTTCATTTCCCTCCGACCAGTGGTCTCGAAATCTAGTAGATCTAAGCCGAACTAAACTTTCGCGCGATACAAACGATTGAAAATCCAAAGATCCATCGGTTTGGGAAGAGAACAACAGTCTCTATTTTAGAGTCATGGATGAATTGCTTGATGCAAAAGCTACATACTTTGGTCTTTTGTGGAGGGAAAGACAGCTAATTATAGACGGTGATATTGATACAAGGTATGTGGCTCCTAACTTCTTCAATGGCGCCCTAACTCAGTAGTTCAAGCAATAACAACAATGATTTTTTGATGCATGACACTTTGAAGTTTGTGTTTCGTCCCGTGACTTTATTGTACTACAGTATTTTCAGGGGTCTCATACTACTAAAGTACTTCCTCCATCCCCAAAAGACTGTACCCTGTGCACCTTTACTACTGAAATAAGCTCAATATTTGGCSRGTTTGGATGGTTCTTTTCTTACTCTGTTGACCTTGTTGAACACTTCTACTATTTTAATATATTATGCCTTTAAATGTTGTACCATCAATAAAAAAGTAACAAGCCTTCAAACAGGGTAGAGTCTTCTGGACACAAAGGAAGTAGTACTTTGTATTCAATATATTAGCCTGGTGCTCTTGATGATACTTTGTATTCAGTATTGTAATCTAGTACTTTTGACAAGGCTTCTAATAGACTGGTGCTGTAGTACTGATACTACTACTACTGAAGATTTTTTCCTTGTTGCCAATGCTTCTACAGGTACTAGTACATCACACAAACCAGATTGGACATAATTTTCATTTTACAGAGTCACAACCATCAAATTTTCTGGTATTACCATTAGATTTTTATTGAAGAATTAATATATCAAACTTCTATTTTTATTTGGTTTTCCGAGTACATATTTTCTTGATTTGGCACTCACTTAACCTCAATCTCACCCAACCCAGTGATGCATGCCTGAAAATTATTACTTTCCAAACTGATAGCATTTTGCTTTTCCTCATCATCAAAATTCTATTGGTTTCTGCACCCAAATAACTTCTCCTCCTCTCCCCATGAGCTGATAGTCAATTTTGTCAAAGYTGCCATGGGTCCAAGGATTGGAGGACCCAGCACCCAATATTCTACTATAATGCCAAATAGAACAAAAACAGGAGCCATCATATCTACCAAACTTCTGACTCATCTCCCCAAGAGTCAGATTTGTTTTGACTATTACTTACTAAGGTCAAGGAGGATGTTAGTAGAGATTCCTAACCAATACCAATCATGGACCCACAAGCAGAACGCTGGAAAATCTCAACAGTCAATTGATGTATAWACCCTCTGTGGAAGAAGTTGACCACAGCCTGATTGATTTTGAAACGAATGCTGTTGATTCTGATCTTGATTATCACATGCCTAACTTCTTTGATGCTGTCAAAGCCATGCATAACAYAGTGGATGCGAACACAATCACAACATTGTTTCAGACAAGGCTTGTTTCTGCCCCAACAAAAAGAAAAATTAAACTTATGAAAATAATGAGAGATCACAACATTCCATTAGTTGCTGAGAAGGAGCTTTATAACTGGGGTCTTGAAGCAGAGAGTTTGTCCGGTTTCATCTGGAGTGCTGGTAGTACTAGTCTCATAAAAACCTGACAAAATGTTTTGGAGGAATGTTACAAGTTGCTCCCAAACTATATGGTGATTGTTCCAAAGCACATCCTAGTATCAACTGGTGCTCCAGCAACAACATGGGCCACAAACAAATCTACATTAGGTCTTTCTGACGTGCATTACATTCTCTTCTTACAAATGTGTCTTTAATGAAGGAGGAGAATCTCTTGTTCCCCAACAAAAAAATGCTACCTCTCCCACCGTGACTCTGAACTGACAGAAGACACTCTCATTTGTGAACTCCATCATGGGGAATGATGTGGCAGTATGATTAGATATATTCTTCCAATATTATTTGTTATTGAGAAACAACAATTAGGTTCTGAGGAGAAAATATGAATCTGGAAGTGTCGCAACAGAATTATTTAGAGATATCAGGTTATGATATCCTGTTGACGCAAGGAGAAAAAACTGATGAGGAAGAAGAAAAATCACAAAAACCCTCAAACTGAGCGTACAATTTGTGCTAAGAAACATGTGGTGTGAGAAGAATATGCTCCAGGGGAAAGTGTCTTGTGTTTTGCTTTAGAATATCCCAAAATGCACATGCAATTTTGTTTTGGTCCATGTGGAAAAAGAAAATACCATTATCCTACAGAGTTGGCAGACCAATGTACTACAAACCAGTTGTACATTTTGTGCTATCTTTTGCTTGTACTAGTGACTACTTTCACTAGTAGTTAAAAATAAATACATACAAAATGCACGTGCTCAGCAGTACTTGAATTTTTGAATCCCACCAGTCGCGTGGCCAGATAGTTTCACTTGCATGTGCATGCTGTAGCCCTAGTACAAGTCAATTTTTTTAACCCACAAGTCATTACACAGTACTAATAGCAATTAGATGGCCTAAAATTGACATACCATACAAAATACACCATACAAAATACACATAGAGAGTTAACTAAGGGTCAACTCACTCAAACAGCTATATCTTTGTTCCCAACGGATGCTTAGTAAGTATGGTAGTAAGCACATGAAACAAAAGCCATTTTTAAGAGCTTTCTAACCATATAGGGAGTCAGGGGGTCCTGGTGGTATTTATCTATGTAGGTGTATGTATATTGAGCATTGCCAATGTATAATGACACGGCTAGAGGGTTGGTTAGTCACAAGGGACATGAGAAGTAGGTACTAGTAAGAGCAGGGGSCATAATAATGACACCTAGGTGAGAGGAGGGAAGAGTACAGGTATGTATAYGGTATCATACATATGTAGTACTATTACTTTAGTTTGGTTTCAGTTGTGCTTTTTGGGGGAGAATTGTTTTTCATTTTTCACTTGATTGACCACAATTATTTTGTGTTTGTGTCATAACCAATTGTCTCTCGCAGAAAAACTTGTTGAACTCCATTTCATCAGGGACTTTTCAAAACAACACACTACCAGATAATACTTTTAGCTACTGGACCCACCACTACTCCAATATCAAGAAGCAGTACATCCCCTACTGCTATGGTATGGATCCTTATCATGTTCAACAGAATCATAACATTCCTTTTCTAGTTGAWTAAAATGTAGAAATAAAGTAGCTTAAAAGTAGAAATAAAGTAGCTTTCAGGTAACTTTAAAAGCTACTTTTAAGTTACTTTAAGGTAGCTGTTCCTCTTTACSTAGATGTTGGCCAGTATAGTATCACTTCTATGTGGTAGGGGCAAAAGGAAAGCTACTTTAACAAAGTAAGTTTTAGGTAGCTTAAAAAGTAGCTTTCTTTAAGTAGCTTTTAAGTCAATTTCCAGTAGGCAATAGATTTACTAGAAAATCCCTTTCAGTAATAGTAGTATTAGTAGTGGACATGTGCCATACTGTACTATAAGTAGGGGATGAGCATAACTATTCTTGGCTTAGTTGGAGTAGTTTTGGGTACTACAGTAGCTTAARGAAACTGGTATTGCATTGTTTTGAAATGTCCCTACTAGAGGTAATTATGTGCAGTTTGTACTGTGCTGTGTGTATTACTAACATTAAGAATACTTAATTACTGTAGTATTAGTGTACAAAGTATGATAGCACAAACAGGATTACAGAACATCATACAATACAGTTCTCTTCTTTTAGTACTGTACTACCCCTATTAGCTACTATCATACTAATGGTATTACCACCAAGAGGACAGGAGAGCATACAGTACAAGAAGCATAACATAGGTTTTCTTGAGCGCTGTTTCTTACATCAAAATTTGGCCACCACCAGCTACTGTAACTTTGGTGAGCTAGTTCTAAGCCTGCATAGCATCCTATGGGTTCCCAATGGCACAGACATCTAGGTGATCATATCAGTAAGGACTGGTGGGCGCTTAGTCAAAATGTCTAGAGTTCCCCCCCCTCATTTGCTGCCCTATCATATACTAACACACAGCCAGTCTGGAGCAGTAGCTATTTTTGCACATGCGGCTTCAAGACRAGAATCACAGCCAGTCTTCAGCAATTCTTTAGGACACCTGCACAAGACCAAGCTTATCCCCAAAGGGGAGGAGGACATTAGAGCCAGTTCCTGAGGAGCGGTTCAAGTACTAATGGTCTCAGGAACACTAGTGTTTCTAACAATTGGAGAAACTCAATACATTCTACTAGAACTGTGTAGAATTCAGTAGGACAAAATTATTGTTGTAAGGTTTGTTGTTGTTGTCAAGCAGCCTTTGTCAGAAAATTAATTTACTACAAATTAGTAATTCACAACCAAATCGTCCCAAGAAATCACAGTCAACCAATTGGAATTGCGAAGGGAAACTTCCTTCCTGGTGTTCTTACCACGTTCACTGACACTGAGAAACTCAGAAAATTTCTTATTTCATTTTTGGTGCCCTGTAATTTGGTCGTACTAGCAGCACCAGTAGYACTAGTGTACTAGTAGATCAGCAGTAGTACTAGCTAGTAAAAATAAGAGTTCTTCCTTCATTACTAGAACAACATTTGGCAGCCTTAATGAGAAGAGTGAGCACTTTGTAACAGTACCCTCAGCTTGTCTTGTTAGAATGCTTTGGTTGTGGAGATGTTGTAATTCCCATGGTCATATTGAGGTGGATTTGTTTGTTGAGTGCAGGTTGTTGTTGTGTCTATTTTTTGTGTAGTGCCTGGCAGGGTCCCCACAGCTTACAGACAGAACCGTTGTTAAACTCGAGCGGTACGGTACGACTGAGAGAGACCAGAATTTACTCTTACGGTTGTTCGTACGGTTACGTAGCCAGGGTTCACCCCTGTAACGGTACGTAGCTGAGTACGAGTAGCGTATTCGGTCTTTTTACGGCAAAGTCTTCCTCGGCTGTCGATAACACTCACCAGCAACATCCTCTCCTGTTATATTACATTACCGAAGAACAACAGTCTACTAGTACTTGACAATCGTTTGCATCCTCCTCATTTTTGCCTTTCTCATACAACAACATAACAAAAGTTGTACGAAACCAATCTCGCTGTCTCTTTGAAGGCAGGAGAACGATTGAATTGAATCGAATCACGACGACACGACGACACGACGACACGACACGACGACACGACACGACGACACGACACGACGACACGACACGAAACAAAGCGATCGACAACGACGATGATGGCACGGATCGGCGGTGACCACAGTGGCTCTTGCCTAGTGCCTTTTGTGATCGCTGTTTGGGGTTTTGCAATTAGCACCGTTGTGGTAGATGCAGTGATCCCATCGGTAGAAGTCGGTCTTCGGACAACAGATAGGGGAAGCGACTCCGTAACCACATCGGTTCTGTTGCTATCGCAAGCATATTACGGTCCGTCCCCTCCTATCCAAAACAACAACAGCGACAACGACAGCAACAATAGTAACAAACGACTAGTTTCTCCACCTGACGACAATTATTTCTTGTGTAAGGAGCCAGGCGATGCGATGATCGATCGGGAGGTATTGGAATCTACAAAAGGCGCTTGGATGCTCGTTCCCAGGGGGTCCTGTACCTACGAATACAAAACATGGACCGCCCAAACAATCTACGAGGCATCGGGTGTCATTGTGTACAATACTCTGGAATCGAGATATTCCTTCAACGGTACGGATAGCAGCATCCTGTGGCCGATGGAATACCACGACTACGATTGTACGAACGCCAGGGCAGAGATCCCCTCCAATAATCTGGCGTTTTTTTCGAGCCCGAGCGAGGCCAATTCCAAATCACAGAACGGTCCCTACGATTTTCGGACCAACGATCCTCTGCTCAGCGGCGACACTTTCGACAACCTCTGCAAGCTCCACGACGCAAACGATCTGCGAAACTGTCCATCGAAACGCTGCCTCGTGGCGCACGACTATGATACCACTACCTCTGACACAACGACCGTCTGCTGCGCGTGGGACATTCGCCTGAATCCATACCCAGACGTAGACCTCGAAAACAACGTGACGGTGACCATTCCGACGCTCTTTGCAACCATGGAGCAGGGGGACATTTTCAGGGAGGCAATGGCAGAGTCTTCATCGTCGCTCACAATTGGGGTGTACAGCCGGTGGCGTCCGGCATACAATGTATCGGCGGTGTTGATTGTCCTGCTGGGTGCGGCGGTGGCTGCCTTTGCGTCCTTTCGAAGCGCCGACGACTACCACTACGGGGCATTCAAGCTCTGGAAGAAGGCGTCGAGAGACAAGAGCCGAAATGCCAAGGGAAGCGGGAATTCGGGTGGCCGTCAATCAGAACGGCAGGACACTTTGGTTCCCCGGAATAACAATCCATTGTCCGACGAGTCGCTGGAACTGGAGCCGATCCACGCGTTGATGTTTCTGTTAATGTCATCGATTAGTTTGTTTGTGCTGTTCTTTTTCAAGGTACGAACATGAAGTGTTGAAATAAACAATCAATCGCAACTGCCTCTTTTTCGATTRAAGTTTTGCTTTCTAATAACGCTCTCCTTTTTTTCTGTCGCTTTTAACTTCCCTGGTCGCGTAGATTTACAATGTGGCAAAGGTCATGTACGCATTCGGGTGTTCGAACTCTTTCATCCAAATCATTGTGTATCCACTGTTGTCGAGACTTTTGTGCTCGCGATTTTTCGTGTCGTCTCGCATGGGAAAACATTGTTTCCGCGAACGAATTGTGTACCGCTCGGAAGAGTTCGGGGACATTACGAACTGGCACGTTCTGGCCGGAGTGATTGGATACTCCGTGGGAATGGTATGGTTGTACATGGCGTTGTGCATTCCCCAAGCCGGGGAGAAGTACGCATTTTATTGGATCGCACAAGATGTTCTGGGAACCTGTATGTGCGTGACGTTTTTGGGACTCATTCAGCTAAATTCCATCCAGGTGGCCTCTGTCTTGTTGATCGTAGCTTTTTTTTACGACATCTTTTTCGTCTTCATTACGCCTTACATTTTTAAGGGCCGATCGGTGATGATCGAGGTAGCGACCTCCGGAGGACCACCGAAGGCCGACGCACTGTGGTGTGAAAAGTATCCCTCGGACCCGGATTGCAAGGGCGGGGACCCCATGCCCATGCTGTTTTCCATCCCCCGATTGTTTGATTATCTAGGAGGATCGTCCATGCTGGGATTGGGGGACATTGTTCTCCCGGGGTTGCTGCTGAGTTTCGCGGCCCGTTTGGACGCGTCGAGATTGGTGTGCACGCTGTATTCCGCGTGCCAAAACCAATCGAGTCGGGCGATATCTCCGGCCRGTGGAAGCGGCGCTGGCCAGCAGGATTGCGGTGTTCCGACTCCCATGCCTGTTTGGTACGCTCTTTTGTTCGGTGGCTACGGTTACTACTTTGTCCCCCTCGTGGTATCCTATACAATTGGTTTGATCATGGCTAATTTAGCTGTCTACCTTATGGAGATGGGTCAGCCAGCCCTGTTGTATCTTGTGCCTTGTACGCTAGGAACGATGGCCTACAAGGGATGGAAACGCAACGAATTGATGTCGTTGTGGAACGGTCCAAAGATCCTAAAGCAAGCCGACTATGTTTGCCACGGAGGTCCTTCGGCGCAAACAGATGGCTCCGGGGGAGAGGGATACTCCGCTTCGGCGGGCACGGACGAGGCACTGGAACTGCAAGAAGATTTCGTCGACGAARGAGTGGAAGATGTCGTTCCGCTCATACAGTCGACAATGGATTCATCCAGAGGGGACAGATTGAACTCCGAATGACTATCACGAAAAAGCCAATGAGGAAAGGAATGGGATTCGCGAAACGCTTATCTCGGCCTTTCACTTACTTGGACCCGCCTTCGTGGTGTAAGATGGTGGACATTTTCGATATGGGAGTTGTAGTAGATCAATATTTATTTTTATTGTCTCTATCGTCAAATGGCGTCTGAGTTCATCACTGTCAAGACAACAGAACATAGCTAGGCCTTCCTGGGAATGAACGCAATAGTTGCTTACTACATTAAAGTTGTTACTAGTGGTGAGTGAGAAGCAGCAGCATGAAATGCATGATCATGGTGGTGGCAGTGTGCAACGGGAGCAAGAGCAAAAATAATCAGTRCAGTTCCTCTTACTGATTCTAGTAGTACTACTAGTAGTGATACTATTATAGTAGCTAGTATTGATGGTGGCGTTAGCAGTAGCTAGTGCTCATTGCTTCATTCCTACTACTAGTGTATAAAACAAGAAAAGGACAATTCAAAATGAAAAAAATGTAAGTGGACAATATTCAACATGGAAGTTGTATTTAAAAAAAACAGAACCCCCCCAAAACATAAAAAGACATACCATTATCTCTTGTTCCCTCATCAGTCCTTTCCCACAGCTATGTAAACATATATTTTTACACATWTTTATGCAACTACTGCTGTTGCTAAAATAAGTGGTGGAGCATTGGTGGACCATCATCATTATTATGATGTACTGTACTTTGTATTTATTTTGTTGCGAGCTTTCTCCTGCAAATTGTATCTGCATCAACAATTTGTTTCATGGACTTGTACTAATACTGTGTTAAAATATAGAAACCAGCTCCTGGATCGCGCGTTGACAGAAAGTCATTGGGTGATTCCTGTTAATCTAGATGGTCTACTTTTTTACAGACAGACAGACCAAATTTAGACAATCTAGTCCAAATTTTTAGACTTTCTGTGAACACACGATCCAGGCTTGACAGAAGAAAGTCTAAATCTAGACCGGAATCCGAGAATGAAAATCTGTTGTAGGACTCAACTGAAAAGAGCCGCCTGGGCGTGTGCTCTTTTGAATGCAGTCTTAGTCATTTCTGTTGAGATTCCAAATTCCTTTGAGACCAGAAAGAGCACCTAAAAAATGTCTGTTGGGCCCCTGTTTTTAATGATTCCCGTTAAACTAAAAAGTCTAAAAGGTCTACTTTAGATTTTTAGACCATCTAGATCAACGGGAATCGCCCATCATGGGGCCCGTACTTMGTAGCTCTACGAAGTACGTACATCATACTGTACGGTAGTGAAATAGATTTTCAAGTCGTGCTTGACGGAACTCGATGTTTTACTTTACTGTAACAGGATGTCATAATCATTGTGTCGAAACTTGGGCCTTTTCTATGAGTTGCTAGTAGGTTGAATAGGGAGCGCCACAACACAGGGCAAGAGCGCTGTGGTCTTGCTTCCCTTTCTCTCAGCTCAATCACGATTAGACCGTCAATATTGAGAGAGTGACACCTCTCCCAAAAAGCAAGTGTTGAAAACTCTTCGGAAAGCAACTCTGACTTGAACAAGCATTACAACATACGACGCATCGAACGCCGCGTCTTCTTTCCGTCATGGGCTGTCGCCATAGCAAAAAGCAAACAGTCGACTTCTCGGAAGTAGACAGGCTGAGGGAAGAACTTGGGATATCTGATTCAAAGAACATACTGTCCTCGATGAGAAAAGTCTCGTCGGCTGTGGGACTCCCTCCGGAAATGATGGAAAATTGGGCAAAACAGGCGAAGCCCATCATGCAGAACATGATACACACGGACGCGACTCCGAAATTAAGCAAACAGGTTCTGGCGACTGCCGCTGTGGTCATGGGTACGAAATTGTCCTACAAACAGCAAGCAACTCACCTGATGAATGTATTTGTGCAACCATTGCAAGATGTTTCATCGTTCACGGCGCCCGTTTATCCGAAGACAAAAGCCGAGAAGAATCTCATCCGTGAAGCCCTGAAAGCAAATTTCATTTTTTCGACAAGTTCCGAGCGAGAACTGCGAACCTTCATCGACGCCTTTGAAGAATCCGACGTCACTGCAGGAGACAAAATAATCGTTGAAGGAAATGTAGGCGATTACTTTTATGTTCTAAAGAAAGGCAAGGTACGATTCGAAGTCAATAGAAAAGCTGTCGGGTACGCGGACGAGGGCAAAACCTTCGGTGAATTGGCGCTCCTCTACTCTTGTCCGAGGGCTGCGTCTGTAATTGCCGAGACAGATGCGACAATATACCGTGTTGACCAGAAGACCTTTCGATACATAATGCAGTCCCAAACAATGAAAACGGAGCAAGCGAAAAAAGAATTGCTGCAGGGCATAGATTTTTTGAAGATTTTAGATCCGACGGACATCGACAAGCTGGTAGACATCATGACACCACGGGTTTTTGAAGAAGGAGATTGCATTACGAAATTGGGCGACGAAGGAGACACACTGTATGTGATACAAGAAGGGAAAGTAAGAGTAACCGAAGTCAACGTTCATTCTATCAAAAAGGTGAACCAGGAGTTGGGGCCTGGGGATCACTTTGGGGAGACCTCATTACTTCACAAGGAGGAGGACGCAAAATGTTCAACTTTTATTGCAATCACAGAAGTGTTAGCCTTGTGTATTGATACCGATACATTCCAGAAAGTGGTTGGTGATATTGTTGAATTGGCGACCCAGTCRAAAGAGAAAGCCATATTGGTACGACTTCGCATTTGTGGAAATTGCGCTCTGCACTCCGSTCTAGCTATGCTTCTCATTTCGTTTTGCCAAATTTGTGTTGCTTCGTGTGTTTTGCGTTTTATGTGTTTTCTTGGGGGATATCAGGCAGACGTTCCGATCCTCAAGAGGAGTGGTCTTTCGAAACCGATTTTCGCTGCTCTTGCAGCATCGTTTGTCGAAATACGATATCCACCAAAATCCACCGTGATGGTAGAGGGAGAGAAAACAACCGCTAATCTCTATGTCGTTCGAGCTGGAAAGTTGGTACTGAAGAGCCAGGGGGAAGAAAGATTGATCGAATCCGGTGGGATTTTCGGAGAGGACATGCTCAAAATCGACGATGAGGGTTTGAAAACGACAGCGGAGTATGATTCCAAACACACAGTCACAACTCTGGACGGATCCGTGGTCGTTGGCGCGCTATCTATCGAATCTTTTCGAAAGGTCCTCGACACAACTGCTCTGGGAACAAAAGAGACGAGATCCAAAACCGACGACAATCCGATTTTGCTGGAGGATCTCGTGCGACACACGATCATTGGCGCGGGGACCTTTGGCCAGGTATGGCTCGTTTCGCATTCCGGGGAAGACAAGGAACGGCGGCCGTACGCACTGAAAGTCCAATCGAAGTTCGAGCTGATCAGAACCCACCAGGCCGCGGTGGTGGTGCAGGAAAAGAAAATAATGGAGGCGCTGAACCATCCGTTCCTGACGCACCTCGCCGCAACCTTCCAAGACAAGAAATTCATCTACATGCTCATGAATTTTGTGCAGGGGGGAGAACTGTACAGTCTCTTGCATTCGAATACCCGTGACGGCATGGACGAAAACCATGCCGTGTTTTATGCGGCCGGAATCCTAGACGGCCTGTCGCACATGCATCGGCACCACATACTGTACCGCGACCTGAAACCGGAGAATGTGATGATCGACGAGGACGGCTATCCGATCGTTATCGATTTTGGATTTGGTACGTCTCGATGATTTTGGGTTGTCCAGAGCATGGCACCAGACGCCTTCGTTCCAACARCATCCATCCCCCATTCCTGCTTACTCAACCATTGTTTCTCTTGCYTTTTTTGTTCGCAGCCAAGTACGTGAAGAGGAAAACGTACACGCTGTGCGGAACTCCACTGTACCTAGCCCCCGAGGTGATTCTGAACCACGGGCACGACAGGGGGGCGGACCACTGGTCGTTTGCTGTGCTGGCGTACGAAATGATCGAGGGAACGACGCCCTTTTACCGGCCCGGATTGGACCAGATCCAGCTGTTCCGGCGCATCTGCCGGGTCAGGTATTCCTTTCCCGGGGACAGCGGGGCCTCGCCGGAAGCGAGGGACCTGGTCGGCTTGCTGCTGGTCCTCGATCCCTCGCAGCGCCTCGGCGCCCTGGCCGGTGGAATCAACGAGATCTACGCCCACCCGTGGTTTGGTGGCATCGACTTTGGCAAGCTCCGGCAGAAGGAGGTCACCGCCCCGTGGGTTCCGGCTTTGGCCGACCCGCTGGACACCGCGAACTTCGAAAACTGGGACCACCTCGAGGACCAAACCACCAAGGGTGCAAGCGTGCCGGTCGTCTCGTCGGAGCAACAGAGGATATTCGAATCCTTTTGAGCGCCGGAGGCAGCAGCAAGCAGCGGCAAGAACCCGACGCAAACGGAACAGCAAAGAAGAACTTGATGTTGTGTTGCTGTTGTCGTTACTTGGTATCGTCGACTCAAAAGCAGTCGTACTACCAGCAGAAGTACGTAGTAGTAATATAATAGTACTAGTAATGCTATTGTCAATGCTGATGCTACTAATATCATTGTTCGTCTACTTGCAGATGTAATGCTAGGTACTTCGTACGAAGTAGTAGTAGTATTGTCCTTGTAGTCTACTGTATTAGTAGTAAGTATCGGTACTACCAGTGCTTCCCAGTAGCATGAGGTACGGTCGGTATGGGCGTCTGCGCGATTTCCAATGTTCGGGTGAACTATGCACGAGTACAATCCAGTACTACTTCTAGTCAACCGAGTCGAAACCTCCAAACATGCCGATCTTCTTCGAATAAAGTCTCACGTCTCATCCAGTTCGGCCTGCCTGTCGTTCCATCTTCGACGATTCTTGGGATACATACCGGTAGGTACGGTACGTACGAATACCGTACCGTAGTCTCGATTGTATTCTATTCGATTGACTACGAGGTACCGTACGGTACGAGCTAGTATGAAAGTCTCGGATGGCTTTTGATTCATTTCATTCTTCCCCGTTCCGACGTTTTCTCGTTTTCTCACAATCCATCCAGAAAATTTCAATCGTACCATACGATACGATACGATACGATACGATACCGAACGAGCAACCCTCGGCGGTCTCGACAATCCCCACAAACCCAGGAAGGATCGGACAAGAGAGAAGTATGCTGAGAATCGGAATCCGAAACACCCGTGCGGTGGCATGGTCGAGGCAGGGTCGCCGGTCATCTTTTCGGGTGTCGCCGCAGCCACGCGATCTCCGATTCTTTTCCGGCGGCAGCGCCAATGGTGACAGCAACAGCAACAGCAACAGCAACAGCGACGGCAACGACAGCGACAGCGACAATGGCAATGGCAATGGCAATGGCAATGGAAATGGAAATGAAAACGACAACCACAAAGATAATAATAACGACAACAACGACAACGGCAGGCCCTATTTTCCGGCAATCGTTCCCAGCAAGGTGCCCTCGCGTGTGGGATACGGCGACGAGGCCCCCCGCATGCCGCACGTCCTGGCCCTCCCGGTGACGAATCGCCCCCTCTTCCCGGGGGTCGTGACGTCCGTGACGCTGACCGAGCCGGCGACGATCGATGCCCTCGAGAAACTCCAGCGGGAGAGCGAGGGGGAGAACGTGTACATCAGCGCCTTTCTCAGGCAGAAGAACCCCACGGGCGTTTCCGAGGGCGGCGTCCTCCTCCCGTCCCCCGAGGTCATCACGGATCCCTCGGACCTGTACTCGGTGGGGACCTTTGCCCAGATCCACCGGCTGACCCGGGGGGTGGGCTCCGGATCGGTGGCGCCGCACCACGGGGGCGTTCCCGGCGGCTCGGGCGGCCTGGGAGACGAYGAGGCCGCTCCGGCAGGGGGCCACGGGGGGGATTCCTCGGCGGGAGGAGGGGCGGGAGGCCATTCCGACGAGGAGGGGTCCTCCTCCGCGGCGTCGGTCCTGCTGCTGGCGCACCGCCGGGTCAACCTAGAGAGCGTCGACAGCCTGGGGCCCCCCATCGACGCGACGATCTCGCACTGGCCCCGACTGGACTACACCGGGCCGATGTCCTCGCCGGACGACACCATACGGGCGCTCATCAACGAGATTCTCAGCACCATCCGGGAGGTGGCCCAGATCAACCCGCTCTTCCGGGAGAACGTACAGTTCTTYTCCGGGCGCCTCGACGCGAACGATCCCTACCGCCTCGCCGATTTCGCGGCCAGCGTCTGCTCGGCCGGGAGCAACCCGGAGGACCTGCAGGCCGTACTGGAAGAGAAGGACGCCGAGATGCGCCTCCACAAGGCCCTCGTCCTGCTCTCCAAGGAACGAGAGGTCAGCAAGCTGCAGCAGGAAATACAGTCCAAGGTCGAGGAAAAGATGAGCGAATCGCAGCGCCGCTACTTTCTGATGGAGCAGCTCAAGTCGATCAAGAAGGAACTCGGAATGGAGCGGGACGACAAGGAAGCGGTCATCGAAAAGTATCGAARGCAGCTAGCAAACTACTCGGAGATCCCGGAAGAGGTCAACAAGACCATCGAGGCAGAGCTCGAGAAGCTCTCTTCGCTGGAAATGAACTCCAGCGAGTACAGCATCACGCGCAACTACCTCGACTGGCTCTGCGGGGTTCCGTGGAACGTCACCAGCGACGAAAACTTTGACATCCAGGACGCAAGGAAGATCCTCAACCGCGACCACTACGGGCTCGACGACGTCAAGGACACGATCCTGGAATTCATCGCCGTTGGCAAGCTCAAGGGCAGCGTGCAGGGAAAGATCATCTGCCTCTCGGGGCCCCCGGGGACCGGCAAGACGAGCATCGCCAAGTCGGTCGCGGCGGCGCTGGGCAGAGAATTCTACCGGTTCTCCGTCGGGGGCCTCAGCAACGTCAGCGAGATCAAGGGACACCGAAGGACCTACGTGGGAGCGATGCCCGGAAAGATCGTCCAGGGCCTCAAAAAGACGGGGACCTTCAATCCCGTCGTGCTCATCGACGAAATCGACAAGCTCGGGCACAGCCACCAGGGAGATCCGGCCTCCGCCCTCCTGGAGGTCCTGGACCCGAGCCAGAACAACGCCTTTCTCGACCACTACCTCGACGAGCCCGTCGACATCAGCAAGGTTCTTTTCATGTGCACCGCCAACGAGCTGGAGCGCATACCGGAGCCCCTCCTCGATCGCATGGAGGTCATCCGGCTGTCCGGGTACGATTTCCCCGAGAAGGTGGCCATCGGGGAGCAATACCTGGTCCCCAAGTCGATGAGGGAGAACGGCCTGCTCGTCGAAAAAACCAGTGGTGCGGGAACGACGGACGCAGATGCAGAACCATCGGAAGCGGGGGATGCCGAAACGCCCGACCGGGCCGGTATCGACGACCCGGAATCATCGGACCAAGCCGGCAGTAGCTCCGAGAGCTCGTCGACCGATCGGCCCGAGCTAACCACCCCTCTGGGAACCTTTGTGCTTCCCGAGAGCGTTCCTCCGACCCTGGGAATTTCCAGGGACGCCATCGAGAGCCTGGTGCGATGGTACGCCCGCGAGGCCGGGGTTCGCAACCTCTCCAAGTACATCGACAAGGTTACCCGGAAGCTCGCCCTCCAGGTGGTCGCGGAAGGTGAGGGCACGGAGCTCACCAAGAAGAGCCGGCGGAAATCCGATTCCTGGACGGTGACGGAGGACAACCTCGAGGACTACGTCGGGAAGCACATTTTCACGAGCGATCGCTTGTACGATAGGGATCCTTTGCCCGACGGGATCGTCATGGGGTGAGCAAAGCACCGCTTGTGCGGCAAGGGAGCACGCCCGAAAAAAGCGCAAAGCACCGGTCTTCCGGGACGCGGCAGCCGCACCGGCCAATCTCACGTCTTTTTTGTTGTTGTTGTTGTTTTCAATGATGATCTTTTTGCGATCACAGGCTGGCGTACACCGCCATGGGCGGCAGTGCCCTATACATCGAAACCCAGGGAATCAAGCGCGGGTTAGATGAGAAGGGAAACCCGCGCGGAGGTGGGACGCTAAAGGCCACKGGGAACCTCAAGGACGTCATGAAGGAAAGCTCCCAGATAGCCTACACCGTGGCACGTGCTCGCTTGTCGGAGATCGATCCAAGCAACGATTTCTTTGACAAAACCGACCTCCACATGCACGTTCCGGAGGGCGCTACACCGAAGGACGGTAGGTTTTGCACTAATCGATCTCATGTCGTCTCGTGTTGCTCGGAACTTATCCATGGTGTGTCGGTATGCTAACAATTTTTGTCATCCCCTTGCGATTCTGCTCGCTCTCGCATATCGTATATCGTATATCGAAGGTCCATCCGCTGGAATTGCAATGGTAACATCGATGCTTTCTCTTGCCCTAGGAAAGCCAATAAGGAACGACTTGGCTATGACGGGAGAAGTAAGCTTAACAGGCAAGGTTCTTGCAGTTGGCGGGATAAAGGAGAAGATAATGGGCGGAAGACGAGCCGGAATAAAGTTGATTATCCTACCGGATGCAAACCGAAGAGACTACGACGAAATTCCGGACTACTTGAAAGAAGGCTTGGAGGTCCATTTTGCAGAAAATTACGAGACAGTGTACGAAGAAGTATTTGGAAATGAATAGAATAAATCTCTAATTTTGAATAAGTCATACATTCGAATCATCGTCCAGCTCGTTATTTTGATAAGCGATGGCTGTATCCTGCCACTATGAAACGGCTTTCGTTCTTGAAAAAGAAAATCTGTTTCATTGGATTTGCGCAACGATGAATGGCTCTTTGCCGCTGCGTTTGTCATTTCTAGTTGGATCAGACACCCTGCACATGTATCTCCTTTCCTTCGTTCTCCAGGCTTTGCATGAGCGCAATTAGAATTTTCTTCATTTGCAACGCGACATCGGTCAGTTCTGTACACTCGGCGATCGCCTCGCTGTCGTCCCAACCTCCATTGCTGTCGACCTGGCATCCGAGTCGGACTAATGTTCTCCATAAAACTCTCTCCTGACCCAAGCCCATGCCTACGTCGAAGGAGTCGGATTCCAATGACTGCCTGTCTCCATCTAGATGAGGTTCTTTGTCGTATACTCGATACGTTGCGAGCCCGTCTGGGTGTTCGATGACAAAATCATTCATAGTTGCATAGCGCGATGTACCCTTGAGCTCAATAGACTGCCTAGTCCCACTTTCTATGTATGCAACATAGAAATTGAGTTTTCGGTCCTAATTATCCGATGCGGAAGCGAAATTGTTGCAAGAATTGCACCAGGAACACAAGAGAAAAGTAAAATAAAAACGGCAATGTTCAACATTTGTGAGAGAGTGACAATTTAGTTTGTTTTGCTTGTACTGACGCCTTCGCCCTGTCAAACAGTTGTCGACCAAGGGTTACTGCGTAACATTGAAYATATTCATGGGATTCAAACGTACGTTCGTAAATTTGACGTAACAGTCCGCAGCAACGATTTCTCCATGACTTCCATGCTTCCACGATTTGACTTGAGCCGACTCGGCGTAACTTCCCACTCTATTGAAAAACATGGTACTAGCCAGAACACAAAATCTGCCGAGGACTCGAATACATCCGTGTTCTGGCTGAAGAGGCAATGTCGCGCCGACTCTCTCCACTTGATTGTAATTTAATTTTATTGAAGACTCGACATCAGTGATCCGTCCAAATTTGTCATCCTGAATGACATGGTTCATGAATCGTTGCACTCGATATTGATGAACGAACATTGCTGTTGTTTGAATGAATTTTCCGTTTTTCTTTGCGCATTCAAGTTCCTCCATAAATTCTGGTAATTTGACCGAAGTAGGGTCATTTGCTAGAACGTGCTTTTTTGCGTTTAGTGATTGTAACACGTATTGTTTTTGCGAGCTATCGTGTTGGAACAATAAAGGAAAGAGAAAGCGGCATAAGATTGATCTCTATGCAGGCAGCTATGATATATCACTTTTTACAAATCGTAACGTCTTTTTGACAATTCGATTCAGTTGCCAACTCGTATTGATAAATAATAGCACCTGTAGTTTTCTTACCTCAAGGCAATAATATACACTGCATCGATCGACTCCGAACGCAGCATTTTATCGCAGCCTTCTTCACCGATCCCAATAAATTCTAAATGCTCAATACCTTCGGTGACCTTGTTTGATGTCAACCACTTTCCTACCGACTCGTTGATCGTGTCGGGAGTTGTTTCGTTGGTATCGGGCTGAAGAACAACGATAGAGGTCAATTGACAACGGGTTGCCGGTTTGTTTATGGTGGAGACGTGGGGATCATTGATCTTGGTCGAATCGAGGATCAGTCCAATCTTGTACTGCGGTTCTATTGTGGATGCTTCTCGCCAGCTTGGAGTTCTGGAAAGATTTTTGATTCTCGATTTGTTCTTGGCATTGCTGCTCGATTTGATATCAGTTGGTATTGGTAATAGAAGGTTCTCTTTCCCTTCTAGGGCGGACGTTACCAAAGTAGATTCTCCTTCTGCCGTGGCATTCGTTTGAATGTTCGGCACCATGATTCCGCTTTTTGCTGTTCTGTTACTATGTCCAAAGCTGTTTTGTAATGAGTTGAGTGCAATCAAAACTCGACAGACACGTGCCGTACGAACTTCCCTGTTGCTTTTGCTTGCTACTTCTAGTCACACGAACAGTACTTCTTCAATGGACCCAACCAATCGTAATACTGGATATGTACAGCTGGAGCGTAGATATGTTGACGAATAATATCAATGAGGAATGAGGACGAAGGAGTCGTTGTTGTCGGTAGGATGTAAAGAATTCAAATTCAGAATACAGTACTAACAACCGTGTGAGAGTTCTTCGAAGCACGAAATCGGATCTATCATCAATCTATCATCAATCAGATCACGACGATCCTGACATGACTCGAAACCAGAAGGCACGAGAAGGTTGCGAATTATTTTTACTGCACTGGCATACTGTCTGATACCTTAAGTACAAGTACTCGTACTATTGGAGTAGTAAGTGCAACGATCTGAAACACGTACTGTATTTCTTTCTGTCCTAAAAGTGGTGTTTGAATCACTCTTAATTTCTGCCTAAGCAGAATGACTAAAACCAGCAAYGTCATAGAATTATTCTCTTCTGTTCTTCGGTTCTTTCTGGGCCAAACGTTTTTTTAGGAAGACTATTTTCGACCCGAAACTTGTATCCGACTAAACAGAGTTTCCCGTTTAGAGCTACGGTACTAAGTACAATTCCAGTGCTGGCAAGTTGAAGGCAATTTCCCGAGTGTCATTTTTTTAATTTTCGTATTTATTTCCCCTCCTGAAGGAGAATTAACTCATTTCCTTGTTTTACAAATGACATAAACTCATTTCCTTGCATATTTCCGTTTTTAGTGAATTGTAAACTCATTTCCTTGCATTCCGCCATTTTGTAAACTCATTTCCTTGCATTCTCTAAGTAATCAAAATTCTACCGTTAAACAACAGGAAAAATCAATGCATCACTTAGGAGTTTGACGTTAAACAACAGGAAACTGCTGTTCTACTGTACTGTACAACAAAACAGTGTTGAAACAYAAGACAAGCGCCAACAATGGTGCTCCTTGCAATAGAAATAATAATAAAGGCATGAAAATAGGAGAGATAGTATTGGTACTAGTAGTGTTTTATATCCCCTCTGTATCRTATCGTATCGCATTGTATCGTATGAGGAGCGACTCGTCGTCTCTCCATATGAGCATCCTCCGTATCAGCATCCTCCGTACCAGCATCCTCATCCGTACCAGAATCCTCTGTACCAGCGACTCGTATCAGCATCCGTATGAGCATCCTCTGTATCAGCAACACATATCAGCAACACGTATCAGCATCCTCCTCCTCCGTAGAAKCATCTCCGTAGCAGCAGTCTCTCATGATGGATCCGCACCAGCAACTCGTTCCGTATCGGCGTTCTCCGTGTGAGCAAGCGTCCTCCGTATCAGCCTTTCAGCAACGCTCCGTATCAGCGAGCATCCTTCGTATCAGCAAGCCTCCGTATCAGCATCCTTCGTAACAGCGACTTGTAACAGCATCCGTATCAGCATCCTCCGTATCAGGGACTCCTATCAGCGACTCGTATCGGCATTCTCATTATTGTCATTCTATCGGCATTCTCCTTATCGGCATTCTCCATATCAGTGAGCATTCTCCATATCAGTGAGCATCCTCCATATCAGTGAGCATCCTCTGTATCAGCGTTCTGTATCAGCGTTCCGCATCGTCAGCAACCATGGTGGTTCTTGGTCTTTTGGTTGTTGCTTTGTTGAATTTATGACTGTTTTGTGCTGGTGTACTGCGTTGTGGTGGTAGCATTGGTTTTCCCATTGTTTAACGGTAGAATTTTGATTACTTAGAGAATGCAAGGAAATGAGTTTACAAAATGGCGGAATGCAAGGAAATGAGTTTACAATTCACTAAAAACGGAAATATGCAAGGAAATGAGTTTATGTCATTTGTAAAACAAGGAAATGAGTTAATTCTCCGTGACCCCTCCACAAAAAAATGTGTCCCAAAATATTTCTATTAGAGGTCCTTACTACTATGGATACAAAATCAGTGCTCATTCCCAGTATTAAGGAGCACTAATAGAAATATTTTGGGACTAGCGAGAAATTAAACAATGGAAATAATTTTATTTTTGTCCGTTGGGTTCCTTTTKAACTGGTTTTAACTGTAAAAATGAGCTAAAAAATTCTATTAGTATTTGTACGGGGAATGCCAATAACTTGCCAGCACGGGAATTGTAGGGATTTTGGAGTTTATGCGTTGCAAGGCTCCTTTGGTTTCTTCATTTTTCAATTATGGGCAGTTCCCATTATTATTTGCTAACTTCTTTCTTGATAGACTGATACTAGACTGAAAATTTAATGCATGTGGTTGTTATTGAATAAATGAGTCAAAGACCACCATTCATAATGTGCTAAATCTATTACAAACCCGCAAAAAATTCTGTCTGTTGAAAGACTTAACAGATGGGCCCGCTAAAATTAAGACTCAGTTATCCTAGTAAGCAATAAGAACAAAGCAGAGAGGTGCCTCTATCAAGCACCACTTTGTTCAACAAGGGCAATGATGGCTCAATTATCTGTATTGTGCCACATAAAAAATATCCAGATCAGTGCTCTTAGTAGTCAGTACATTCTATTTTCCTTCAGAAGCAGGAAAACTACTATCAGGACCAAATACACCTCCATGAAGAGAGGAAAGAAGAGGAGCTCAACCAGAAATCCAAATATGCCAACCACCAGAGTATGAATGTGAAGATGACACAAAATATCCATATCTTGATTGTTGGTAAGAAGGCAAATATTGCAATAAGCACAGTGCCAGAGGCTCAGTTACGAGCCTCCTGGGCTGGACCACCTACGTATATAGGGTACAAGCCTACACCCTATATTATGTAGTATACTAGTATTACATACCACTATATCATATTACATACTACTACAGCATGCTACTACTTCTATATAATCCTATATGATACCTATACAAGGTGTAAGAGTACCAAGCATCAAGAATRTTTTTCATCATGACATCTACCAAGATATGAGAACACTAACACATGACATGATGAGATGTCACGAGAACAGAACCATAAGAAAATCTGTGGATTACATATTACTAAGACAACCTACAGGGAATAGGATTGTTCTAAAGTGCTTGTCACTTCTTTTAATGTGGATTGGCACATGAAATGTGTGTTGGCACTTTAGATACCAAATAAGATAATGATTCATTTTCATTACACTTAAAATCAAATCTACACATTATTTTTTGCAAATATTGATAGTGAAGAGGAGGACTTTGATCTGAAGGAAGGCTTCATCAAGAATAAGGTCGTGAAGTTTTTAGAGCCTCCTGCACCTGAAGTGTTGACACCAGGAGGAGGCATAATTGCAGGAATAGGAGTGTCAACCAATGAAACTGCTGCTGGAGGAGAAGTGTCAACTCTTCTTGCTGCTGGACAAGCAATGACAATGGAGGCAATAGCGTCAACATCATCATTGACACCACCATCTGTTGTAGAATCAACTCCTAAAAAGAAGAGATCATATCAGCAAAACGAACCCAGTGTTCCTGATGGTGCTGGGTTTCATCAGTATCCAAAGACCCAGCAAGAAACAGACAAAAGAGACAAATCAGTTTGCAAGAGGAGAGACTAATCAGATGTGGAAGGAGGTTCTTGGAATGACAAATGAATATGTTCAACCAATGACAGCAGAGCTCTTGTTTCCATTATTGTCTGCTGCCTGCTAATAATTTCCAATACACCAACATTGACACCAACATCAACATCAACATCAGCCACAAACAACAATACACCACCAGGGAGGAATCCAAAGGTGAAGAAAATGAGACAGGAGTTCTTTAGTTGCTTTTTAGTTAGATTTGGTAGCAAAATAAAATTAATGAAAGATACTAAGCATTATTTTGATCCTTCCCCCCATGCTTTACACCATGCTGTTGCTGTAGGTGATAGTATTGTTTCCCAAGGGTTTGGTTTTTGGTTTTCTTCTTAGTATCAAAGTGGTGAGACACACGCCTCTTTTTAGTCTTACCATTGAATTTTAGTTAAGATTCCAAAAAAAAGCAAGAAGACTGAGATCAAGCCAACTTCCCTTGCTGTCTGTCTGTTGAAATTTTGATTCCTGTTATTAGTATTTGCTAGTAGCTGTGCCAGAAATAACAGGAATCACCCAATGTAAAAAAGAGATTAAGCCTTCCTGTGTGCCTGAATGGCAAGTGTTCATAGGAAACATGTCTGAAACAAAGAGTCCACTACCATCCTATCCACTCAATCTGGTKGTATGATGCATCATGTACCAAACGCCTAGTAGTTTTGTAAGTCTGCAAAAACAATTGATTGAAGTGGGTCCATGAACTAAATTCTGAATTCTGCCCTCATAATCAGCAAATCTCTGAACTTTTGTGTTTTACTAGTGATTTGGAAACAGTAAACTAGACATCTGAAAAAGATCAGCACAAAGGCAGTCATTAATAATACTCGCAGCTAGAAACAATGATGTACAGTAGTGCAGATATCATTATAGTATTAAAACTATGAAGAATCGCGAGATATTACTGTATTTGACTTTTCAAAAGCATATTTCTCAGCAACAGTGCTGCGCAAACACGTTCTCATGTTTTTTTTTGCAAATCCCATATTCTCAAATCTTTGATTCTTTGTTGCTCTTCAATGTTCACGATTTATTGTCTAGTCTTTTGTTTCTTATTTCCTCGCTGCTTCTCTTCGGCACGCCGGATCATTTGCTTGGTTTTGAATGCGATGAAATCGTCCCAGTACTTCTTTTCTTCGTCTCCTTCTAGGATTGAGGCATCTTCTACTTTGGCGTCCAAAATCATCAGTTCCGCATCCTTCAATTTTTTGGCAACGACTGCCACACTATCAGATTTCTCTGGGAAACGAATGGCTCCGTCTGTTTGCCCACGTGAGTAGTCAACGTAGATATTTTTGGCCTTGACATCATCGGGAGAAATATCCAGAGCTTTTCCAACGACAGCTAGCATTGCTTCACGATCGCACGCTGTCGGCAAACCACGAACTTTGATAACGCACCCGGGTTCCCAGTCAAACACGAACTTCGGAGTTTCTTTTTCCTCCTCTGGTTTTGATTCGGGTGCAGATCGTTTCTTCGTTTCTCGTTTTGATTTTTCTTCCTTACGCATTTCTACGTATTCGGACAATCGAGTTACTTCGAGATCGATAGCTTCTTTTCGTGTATCCGATTGAGCAAGAGTAATTTTATCTTTCGGTGTCACCTTTTCTCCGCCCTTGGTAGTTAAAGTGGCTTCTGCAGCCTTTTCAAGATCTTTTTGCGTGTGAAACTCAACCATTGCTGCCCCAATYGGAATATTTCGATTTTTGGAACCACTTGGGCCATAGTGACCATGATTTCTATTTTTGGGACCACTGTGAAACTTTAGCTTTACCATCGCTACGTCACCGTACTTTCCAAATAGAGCTCGAATTTCATCTACTTTGACATCGTAACGTTTTGATTCGTCAATGGGCAAATTCTGGATGTAAAGCGATTTAGGTATATTTCCATTCATCATTTCCTTGGTGAAGGGAACCACTCTAGCAATGGTCATTTTGTCCTCATCTACCACCAACACGTCGGCTAATTCCTTTGCCGCTTGGATTATCACGKAGGATTTCTCGGTATGTTTCTTGATTGTGTTAAAGCGAAGCAAAGCGTCAACTGGAACAGATTTCTCATCGGAAGACATCAAAAGTTTCCGAATAAAGACATCCTGGCGAACGTTAGCGTCAGAGAAAAAAAACTTCAAGCGTTCTTTCACCCCTGCGACAGCCTTGACGTCTTCGTCTGCTACAGTAGCATCGGGCTCATTTACTTTCGCTTCCTCCGTCTTGGTCGTTTCGTCGGTCTTCGCGACTTCTTCATTTWTTGTTTCTTCTGCCATTTTGTTGAGATATCTTGAATGAAAAGAAACGTTGTGAATAAGTTTGCAATACAGTATGTGATTTCTTAACGTCAAACTGTGGAAAAGGAGAGCGAGTGRTGAAAGACCATGCGGAGGTATGTCAAATCCAGAAATTGCACTAGGGAGATATCATACCGTACGTAGGCTATTGTACGAGCTCGATACAGTAAACCGCAGATCGAATTTTGGGGTTTTCGGTTTTCTCATCGATGGAACTGAAATCTTTCATTGCGTTTTTCAAAACCGGTCAAAAAAAAACATATTTTTTTGGTGGTGAGAAGCAAAGTTCACTGATCATAGGCACGTCCGTCAGTCGCCAAACTTTTTAATCGAGGTAGTCCGTCATGAAATTAAACCATGCACTTCTACTGTACAAGTAGGGACGTACTGYACRCACAGTATGGCACGAGTACGTTACGTACGGTACGTAACTAAGAAAACTGAATCTTTTTTGCTCGCAAGTACGGTACGTACGGTACGTACGGTACCGTGGAGTCCTTAACGAAGCAGGACCAGGAGTTAGTACGTACTCGTACTATGCGGCACAGTACGTACCGGTACGAACGAAGGTTCGAGTAGGTACATACAGTAAAGTATCATCATATCATGAGGAGAAAATTGTTTTCAACACTGACGTAGGTACGTATGTATCCAGTACTGTACTACAGTACAGGATTGAATTTTGAATTTTACGGTACTGTAATGAATGGGTCTAAAATTACTGTACTGTATCGTACAGTATAACCCCTGCGGTAATGTACAGTATCAGTACGAACTAGGGTACGTACTGTATGGTACCTACTCGTACTAATAGCATTTTTGAGAACAGTGAAAAAAGGTTSGAATACTTTTGATAGCTCCTCGTACCGTACGATACTACGAKTTACGAGTACGTATTCCATGCCAATAACATGCTCAAGTTTCTTCACGAGAGCGTCAGCAACCATCCTACATTCCAATTCGGTAACAAGGAAACGAAATCCTTTCTGGAACACACAAAGCGGTAGAGCAGCGACAAAATCAACAGCTTTTGGTACAGGGAACTAATCATGTCGAAATTTCTACAAGCTTTTGCCTTGTTCTTAGGAATCGCGGCAATTTCAAGTAGAACATGTCGCGCGTTTTCTGCGGTGGCTCCAACCGTTCCTGGAAACAGCATCAAAGGAATTGACATCCAACCGGTCAATGGGGGTGAAAAGCTGGCCCTGGAAGACTATCTCAAAAACGATGGGAAAACTCTTTTTGTTTTTGGGACATACGCAGCAGATTTTAATGCCATCGAGTACGCCCAGCGGCTTCGATACTATCTTCCCATCCTTGAAGAAGAATGCGGGGTTACAAAGTTTGGTGTTGTTTTGAACTGCCAGGCCGATGCAGCACTCGCYATGGCAGATGTAGTTGATTTGGATACAACAAAAGTTGATTTGTTCGTGGACAACACTGGTGCTGCAGGCAAAAAATGGGGTGTCTCTCGTGGTTGGTTGCCGGACAACGAAGATGTGAACCCGTTTTTGAAGTTATTTGGGATGCTCTGGGGACTCGGTGCTTGGGCTACTCTGCCCGCTGTCATCGGCGGTTATATTGGCAATCCATTTGTACCACAAAGATGGATAGAAGACGCCTTGGCCGTTGGGCAGAACAAGGATCGTTGGCCAAACACGGCGCTAGAACTGAGTCAAGACGGCAAGASTATTGAAGTGAATAAATTTACAGAGCTTCCTGTCGTTGGTACCTGGCCTAGACGTCCGTTGGAACTTGCAACATTGCGACTTCAATCAATGATTGGTATCTCTTTGAAGGATTGGAAAAAGCTTGCACCAGACGAAGAGGCGCTGAACTCAGGCGTCCTTACGCAGCTTGGTGGTTGCATAGTTGTCGACGGGACAACACTAGAAACTGTTTACGACTGGAAAGATCCTGGGATTTGCGCTGTGGCAAATTTTGAAGATCTCATCAACAAACTGAAGGCTTAGATTGCAGATCTTCATATATCTTTTGTGATGGTAATGTTTCCATGTAACTATATGTTATTCAAATACTGATCTGTTTTGTGTTTGATGTTATATAAAAATGATTGTATTTTACTGGAAGTCGGACGGAGCTAATCAGAATAACGTGCCGCTCGTCTAGCTCCTCTTCAAGATCAAAATGCTAACACAATCAAGCTTAGACCTTAGGTTTCTTTGCGGCAGGTTCACCGAAGTCTTCAGCCAACTTGGTGTCAGCCTCGAACTTTTCATCGTAGGCGTCGTCGTGAACTCCAGCGGCACGACCACTGGGATCTGCTCGTAGCGCGAAGGTAGCATCCCATTTCATCGCACGTTCTGTCGAACAAGCGATAGACTTTCCTCCGGGTACGGTCTTCTCCGCGGCCTCTCCGGGATAAAACGATTCGAAGATCATTCGATATCTGTATCCCTCCTTAGTCGTGGGGGTATTGTGAGGGAAGCGATTGGCAGCATTGGCAAACATTTGATCCGAAATTTCTTTATCAGCAATGTCCTTCAAATGGTCTACCCACCCATAACCAACGCCGTCACTGAATTGTTCCTTTTGTCTCCACAAAATTTCATCTGGTAGGTAAGGGTCATCGGGTGTATCAAAGGCCTTGCGAATCGCCCACTTTTCAATGCGAGTATCTTCTTTAGAGATTTCAGGTCCCTTTCGAATCATCTTTTCCTTAGGATCCAAGTTCATTGCAACCTGTAAAAAGTCAGCATCTAAGAAAGGTACACGAGGTTCTACACCCCACGCACTCATGGCCTTGTTACAACGCAGGCAATCGTACATGTGCAGACGACTGAGCTTGTCAACTGTCTCGTCGAAAAATTCTTGCTCATTCGGTGCCTTGTGGAAGTAGAGGTATCCGCCAAAGACTTCATCGGCACCCTCACCACTGATTACCATTTTAATACCCATGGCTTTGATCTTTCGCGACATGAGGTACATAGGAGTCGAAGCTCGGACCGTCGTGACATCGTAGGTTTCGAGGCAACGAATTACGTCAGGAATAGCATCAGAACCCTCTTCAAGAGTGTAAGTGTATGGATGGTGAATCGTTCCGAGCTGATCAGCGACCTTCTGGGCTGCCACCAAATCAGGCGAACCTTCCAAACCAACTGTGAAGGAGTGCAGTTTGGGAAAGGACGTGGAGCGACGGCTGATGTGACGCGAGCAAATAGCAGCCACCAAAGAGGAGTCAAGTCCACCAGACAACAAAACACCCCACGGAACATCAGACATCATACGACGTGTAACAGCACGTTCAAATGCATGTCGGAGAACATCCTAGCGTGGTAAGAAAAATAGCATTTCGAGTTCAATAAATGATAATTAAAAAATGTTGTGAGATTTAATGCCCAAAGTTTTGATTCGATCAATAGTTGTGCTGTGATAAAAGAGCCAGTGCTAATTACACAAGAAATAAACCAACTGGAGAATGACAATAATGATCAAAGTGCTTACCGATTGATAGCCTTCTTTGGGCATCTCACCTCCAGGCAGCATTTCTGGTGCCCAGTTTGGCTTGTACCAACGTTGGAATTCCCCAGCCTTTGGCCCCTTGCTGCAATAAATATGACCCGGAGGAAAGTTCTGGAATTTGTTGCACTCCCCAACAAGACTCTTCATCTCTGAGGCGACGTAGACCGACCCGTCGTTACCCCATCCAATGTACAACGGAGTAATTCCAATGTGATCTCTTGCAACCATGTAGGTGTCTGTTTTTTTGTCGTAAAGAATGAAACTAAACATACCTCTCAAGTTCGTGACCATCTCGGCGGAGGGACCATGTTCTTCGTAAAGGGGGAGAATGCATTCGCAATCAGATCCTGTCATAGGGGTGTATGGTGTTTTGAGAGAGCTGTAAAGTTCCTTGAAGTTGTAAATCTCTCCGTTGGCAGCTACAATAACATTTCCATCTCGTGACACAAGAGGTTGCGATCCAGACTCAGGATCCATGATGGCAAGTCGCTCATGGCCGATTCCATGTGCAAGTGGAATGTTGGCATCCGGCTTGATCACCTTGTATCCTGACCAATCGGGTCCACGGTGACGAAGTTTTTGGGAGCATGTGATGAGCTCTTTCCGAAGGTCGGCTTCGGGAAGACTCGACGAGAAGATGGAGAAAATTCCACACATAGTTGTAGTTCGGATTGCCTTTTGCTGTCGTTGTCGCAAAAGAGTGTATCACCTTATGGTTAACCGAAAGTTAGTTTAGACGTCGTTCAACTTCCAGGACGTCGCACGTATTGCTGAAATCAAAGTTGCGAACTTGGAAAGAGGATTCGGTGCACAACCTCCAGAAGAGCATCCCAGTGTAATGAGTAGTTTCGAAGTTGTTGACGGATCCATTTGTTTTTGGAACTTGTGCGGTTTTCTAACTTCCACGTGTCATTCTCTCCGCCATTTGTTGTATATTGCCGAATACTCTAAGCGCATGCATACGTGTCACATTTGGGGGATAAACAAGTTAATTGGTTCCCACCAGAAAATAGATCAGTGAACAAAACACCGGTACCGGTATCTGAAGGGAAATCCGATCTCTGATTCTACCGTCGAGTACCATTCGTACGTACGTAATGTAGTGTATTACCGTAGGGTAAGGAAGCGCACAAAATTCAACATTCATCTTCTTCTTCACTTCATAGTACTGTAAGTACTGTATCATATCGTGAGAAGTGAAAAGGGTAGGACCAGGTACTTTACGGTACGTGCCGATGTATCTTCAAAAAACCAAAGAATTCAATTTTTTGGGCAAGAATCACAGATCCTTTGGATCATCTAGCTAGTGTACCGGTACATAAAAGATTGACACAACGTATCGTAGTCACGTAATACTTGTWATGTACAAAGAAAATTGCCATTGCATCATTTCTGGCTTGGCAGCATGATATTTCAGATTGACACAAAAGTAAGAAAGACACATGATGAGTTCTATTACTGCTTCCGGATGATACAGTGTAGTTTGAAGATGGCAAAAAAAGTTGAGTCGTGATAAAAAGTCGGTGAACTTTTAAATTAGGGTGTAAAGACCATACTCAAGATAAAAGAGATCCCAAATATGCTTGTAGTATTTTTTGATGGAAGGCATGGATTCAGGATCGAGCTGTTTGTATCGGAAAACGAGCATTGCAGCAAGAGCCAAATGTCCACCGATCATGGGAATCATTCGGAAGGCGGCGGAGGATTTAGCAAGAACCCCCGTGAGGATAGCATGAATATAATTAGCTCCTAAACACAGCGTTGCTCCCTGGGCGATGCGCTTAACGCCAAGACGCGTGGCTAATGTATCTATTTGGTAGGCCTTTTTTACCATTGAGAGATTGAGTCATCATAACCACCGAACACAAAAGTCGAAGCAACAAAAGTTGAAGACAACATTTGCATACGTCAAGATGAGAGACAAAACAGCACAAATAAACGGATGAGGTCTAGCTTTATTGGATGAGCAAAATGATTGAAAGTTCCATAACTCAAGGACCAACAGGTTCACCGTGCGGTGGTTTACTCGACATATTTCTCTGATTTTCCCTTCCACAAACCCTCTCAGCACACATACCTTATCTCCTTCCACATCAGGCAGGTCTTTTGTTATGGCTATGATCGAAGCAAAGGCCGTCATAAAGCGAGCAATAAATGCGACCTTTGGTGACCATCCGAATGGAGCCCCGACAGCATCTTTGACGGCGTAATAAACTCCGAAATTCAACAAAAATCCGCGGACAGTGGCGATGGTCAATCCTGCCAACACAGGGTTCTTCTTTGTTCGGATAGGTGGAACGGAATAGATTCCACCAATGAATAATCCAAAAGAGTATAGTTGAAATAGAAGCGGTGGGAAGAACTTCTTGACAAGGATGGGGCCCACCACGAGAGAACTCAAAACAGCAGCCCACGCTGTGCTTTTCGTCATTTCCCCGCTAGCAACTGGCAAGAACGGCTTGTTCATTTCATCAATTTCTTTGTCGTAAATTTGGTTGATACCAACAATAAATACATTTCCAAGCAGAAGAGAAATCATCCCTATAAATGCTCTGGGCAACATTATCCCCCAATTAGCGTTTGCGATGGATCCCGGCGTGTCGACCAGCGCCCGAATAGTTCCTGCGATCGAGGCCAAGATAGATCCTCGAATAGTATGGGGTCTGGTAAATTTGTAGAGGGCATTAAATTTAGCCTTGATGGAACCTGAATCGATCGCTTCCTTGGCTTTTGAAATCGCCTCTGGATCAAAGTCACCTTCCACCGACATGTTCGGAGAATCTGAATGCCTTCGACTTTTTCTGATGCGACTGCTACCACTGATAGGATTGCGAATGGTTTGAAAGAAAAGCGGCGATGCGATTCTGCTAGACATCCCAGTCCCCACAGACGGAGCGAACGCATAAGATGTCGAGAGATACACCAATCCGATGATCCATGATATCATAATGCGAAATATCTGTGACATCTTTGGGTTTCCTTCAATAATTGCTACGTTGCGGAATCCTCCTTCGTTTCACCCGTGGCGGAATCTGTGATCCTTGCAGCAGAGCATATAACCGAAATAATGTACGGTTTGTTGAATCACTAACAAAGGGTGTAGCTGTAGATTTTGAACTATCGTTCTTCTAGCCGAATGACTACGAAGCAAGATACGACCAGCGGAGAGTGAAGTTGACATGATTCCACCGTTAAAAACGACGAGAATCGGAAAATAACGAAGCATACTCTACTACATCCTGTACTCTTTCAACCATACAGTACGTACGTATGTACTACCCAACACCCTTTAATTTTGATGATGAAAGACGAACACATCAGTACGTACAATGTCGGATGCTGGTCGGATGCTTGAATCCGACGTACTGTACGGTACGAAGTAAGTACCGTACCTACGCGTGTCTCAAGACTCCCCTGGATTCCCGTGAAGAAAGGACAGACCATCGCGAATCCAACACCACCAGTTTCACAGTGTCAGTCTCCTTCAAGGAAAACCAACCATGAGCAAATGAGCCTGAAAGCAAGCGATTACAGCATCTACAGAGCATGATAATCTTCTGGCAAACAGTCCCTCTCATTGCTCAATATTGCTGCTGTTTGGTAGGACCAAATCACAGCACAACACTAGTATTTTTTCTATTTTCTATCATGAGCAATCCCCTCGATGAGCTTATTGCTGCGTCCGCGCCTCGCGATGTCCCTTCTGTGGTCGATCCCTTTCCGGGATCTTACACCGGGGCCTCCTTTTACGACGGTGAGTCTGTTTCCCTTCCGGTTACGGGGGGGGAATGTGCTGTATTCTCAATAATTGTATTGGAAAGACCGGAAGATTTATGCGGAGGTTTGTTGCGTTATAATGAAACAGCCTGCTTTAAAAACAAACGCGTGTGTAGATCAAGCCACCGGGGAGATGGTAGAATGAATTTTCCGGAGGAGTCGTTCATAGCGGTAGTCGCTAGGAACAAAGAAACCATATTCTGTACTCCCACCACTTTATCCACAGCGCTAGTCGACAGTTCCCTACTTAACAGATGGAAACAAGACAAACGCACCAAGCTGGATTGGAACAGATGCTTTGACTCGGTGCGATTCTTGCATCACGATGAGCCCATAACAATGGAAGATCTCCGAAAACACTCGGAAAGACAAGATCTGGCTAAGCGTGTCCTCAAAACTCCTGGAAAGACCAGGAGAAAGCTGCTTGGTAGTAATGAAGATAAACTTGATGAGGAAGAGATCCAGTTTGAACCTTTTATCAAAATTGAGAGGGGAAACTCAGCGGAGGATCATAACAACAGGATAGACAAAATTGAAGCATATTTAGTGCAAGAAGCGGACTCCAACGAAGAGAGATGGATAGCATTAAAAGAAGTATTGCAAGACAACGCCGTAACCAGCAAGTTCCATACTACCCAAATCAATGCTATCGATACCATGGTAGGCGTCCGCAATTCAAGGTCTTTCCCTCAAGAATTTGATGGGGCTGATCTCTGGTCAACCCTCGGTTCTATTGGAAGAACACTGCTAGATGAAACCAAAGAAGTGAACATCGAATCAATAGGCAGTCATATCCAAAACAGATATCTAACGGAGTTAGATACAAAGTTCACCGCATCGGATCAATTCAACAAATTTGTTAGTCACATGACAGGCTGGTTCAACACATATCATGATAATACTACGGCGATTTGGAATGAGTTACACTCACTGGAATCAAAGAATAACCAAAACAATCAGGGACAGTTCTTCAATAACTTCCAGGGAGTACATTCCTCTTTCATGAACCAACCATCGTATAATGACAATAACAAAATTCAGGGACCAACACTCAAGGAACACCGAGATCTTAAGGATGAAGTCGACAGACTAAAAGCCCTAGTGCTGAAGCTCTCCTTGGAAAAGGACCAGATATCAATCAGATTTGGTGCTTTGGGCTTTAATGGAGTGGATGATGCCAGAGCTTTCGTAGCTAACTTCCCAGAAGCAAAGAACTTTGGTTTACTTATCGACCCATATTCTGTCTGCTGTCACGTTCTCAAAGAGACCAAGGGGCACAATAATTTCTTCAACCGGCTTCAACATATAAAGAAGCTAGGAATTGGCACGAACAGAGAAGCAATAGTTATGCATGGATTCAATAGCCCCATTCCGGAGCTATTTGATTTGGCCAACGAATTCCAATCCTCTCCACACTCTTCTTCGTTTAGTAAGTTTCCTACTTACAAGGACTGGTTCGATAAAGGAAAGGATCAGATTCCAATGGGCATAACAAAAGTCAGAGCCCAGCTAAATATCCATGCTGATAATTTCTTGAAACAAGGAAGCAAGGTACATACCATTTGTAAACTGTCTATTGCTGAATCCTGTGCCGCTATGGAGCAATTCTGCACTTGGTTAAACAAAAGCCATACAAATCTGGTAACGTATGGAATGACCAAGGACAAGGCTTGGATCTTAACCACAAAATTGGGTGAAAGGGTCTTTAGAGAACTATTTGCAGTACGATCGGGTGTTGCTGATGGTTTCAACGTGTTGTGCGGAGAGGAAGATGCTAGGAATGATATAGCAGCAAATGTTTGGTTCTATGTTCCCAGAACCCTTGATGTTCTCAAGTCTTTTGTTGATGCGGATTACGGTGATCATGAATCAATTGCTGGAGAATACATCCGCTTTTTAGTGCACAATACAAACTCTTCAGATGTATCCACCTTCCAAAGCGACATAGCAGGTCTCAATGAGAAGATCAACAATTCAAAGAAGTACTGGGACAAAGAGTTCAAGTCAGTTCAATCTTCAGTAGACAGTGTCAGCAAAACAGCATCCACGATGGGAAATAAACTCACCGAACAGAACAAGAAGCTCAAGGAATGGGCTAATGGACAATTCGCGAGCAAGTGACATCCTAGGGACAAGCAAATAACTCCTATAAGTCACGCGTCGTTATTGCCTCTATCCCCGCGTGTACACTTAATTAGCGATCTTGACCTTCAAAGAACCCAGTCGAAGCAGGAAGGCCATGACCCTCTAGGATTTGCCTATGGGCAGGTCGATGGAGGGTTGAGGACAAATTTCGTCATGGGAAAGGGAATTGTCTCAGGATCTTCAGGATTCACGTGGTTATTGACATTAAGACCAAAACAATGGTCTTCCATGCAAATACTATGCAAGATACCTGATCGCTTCAAAAGTCCTATAAAAGCTGCTTGGGGAGATCGTTTGAATTACTCTGTCGAGGCAACTTCCAAAGGTTCCACAGATGTAGAATTATCTGGTGGAGACGGACCTGAACTCAAGATATGGCTTCGACAGGACCTGAGAAGACCACGTATATTTCTTCTCCGTGGAAAGGCTCGAAGGGTCCAATTCGACCAAAGAAAGATCCAGTCGTTGCTCATTCCCCACGTGAATGTTGGAGGAGTCACAGATAGTAGATCAAAGTTCTATCTCAGTTACTGCCCGGAAATTTCTATCCCACGGACAGTGATCCGGAATGTAGGTTCCATCATCAACCACAAGGAGTATATCTCATTGAAGAGGATGCCTGAGACCTTCATCGGTATGTCGGACCGCTTCCCATGTAAAAACTTGGATGTGAATATTGAGATCCCCACGAGACTGAGTCCCACTGGTATGGCGTATCGCCCCTTAAGACCACGCGAGCTATTTCTCGCCTGGGATTTTCCTTTGTGGTCGATTCCAGACCAGCCTACGAAAGAAGAGATTCAACAATTTCAACCATTAAAGGCAGGGTTAGCTCTAATGGATGCACTACTTCCAGCCTTCGGAACCAATGGAGAAACGTGCGGAAACTCACCCTTGTCGGACCTTGCCACTGTATCAGTTGATCCACGAGGACATTTCATTGAGTCGCTCCAAGTATGGCTCTCTCCTCAATGGATAGATGCCAGTCTCATTACGGGAAAAGCTGTGAAAATCGATTCAGCAGCAGTGCCGGAACATCTTTGGGATGCCCGAATTGCACTCCCCTTACAGTGCTCATCAACACTATTCCCGCGGCTCTGACGCCTACTTCATAAGCGAGCATGCTACAACGTTCTACTGTCTTTCTTTACCTTCATGGTGGATTCAAATCCCATTTTATGGTTGGATTGGTTGCAAATTAGTAGTAATAAAGCTTCTTTTCCGTGGTTCTTCACTGCACTTTATGAGGTCTTGGTACATTTTGTACAGTCCGCTACGAGGACTACAGGGGGGGGGGGGATTTCGCTCGAACTTCTAAAAATCTTGCTATAGATTCAACGGCCAAATTCGCCAAGGAAATACGTTTTGGAATCAGCCTGGCGCGCAATATTTTAAATAACTATAAAAACTTCGCGAGCCCGCGACACGACAAGTGTCACAAATCGAGGTCAACCGACAATATACAGTATACGGGTCGGAATATTTTGAATATCCAACCAGACCTGAAATCAATCAACTCCAATGAACAGATTAAGGAGTCACACACGACTCCAACAGATGAACTCACACCAGTACGCATTGGTCCCTCACAAAATGGAGGATATCTTCCTACGTGTAGAATTACTACTGTATCCCACGGTGAACTACGTGAATTCGCGAGCAACCTAATCACTGGCTATGAAGCTTGCTTACAATATTGCAAATCAACATGGTGGAAATGGGACAATGGTTCCTCACTCCTCTTCTGGCGTTGGCCAACGACAGAGTCAGTAAAGGCAGCGCGAGACGGGTTCCCTCTATTTGTGAAGCGCAACAGGCTCCCTAAATACAAAGTTCGGCATCGGAAAGTGTCGGATGAAATGGCAACACAGATTGGAGACAAGATAAGTGACGTATTGCGAAAGACTTATATCTCCCCTATCCATGAAACCAAGAGCTATATCGATTTCTTTGGAGTACCGAAGGGTATCGGCCCCAAGGGAGAAATACTAGACATTAGAATAGTTTATAACGGAACCAGCTGTGGTTTGAATGATGCAGTGTGGGCTCCAAATTTCTGGCTTCCAACACCTAACACAGCCATATGGCAGATCTCGTACGGATACTGGGTGATGGACCTTGACTTAGTGGAAATGTTTCTAAATTTCCCAGTCCCTAGAGACATACGACCATACTTATGCGTATCTCTAAACCATATAAGCAACAAACTGCAAGGCATCAAGCATCTAGCGATTCACGATAAAAACGTTGGTTGGACACGCCTGCTAATGGGCTTTAGGCCCAGTCCCTTCTTCTCCATAAAATACTATTACCATGCAGAAGAATTCATATTGGGAGACCACAAAGCCAAGGACAATCCCTTTCGATACGACAAAATCATTCTCAATCTTCCAGGCATGGAAGACTTTGATCCACGATTGCCATGGGTTATGAAATGGGATAATACAAGGGACTGCATAGCAGCTGCTATCATCACATTTGTGGATGATGTCAGGGCCTCTGGAGCCTCCTCCGAAATTGTCTGGAAAGCCGCCCAAAGGCTGGCTAAAGGCTTACAGTATCTGGGTATTCAGCATGCTCCACGAAAGCTAAGACCACCATCTTGGAAACAAACAGGAGCATGGGCCGGAGGAATCACCGAAGCAAATGATCACATGATTTTCAAGTCAATTACACAAGCCAAATGGGATAGAATCATCCCCATATTGGAAAGGATCGAAAACGAACTGGAGACAAGCAACGACAGTTCACTGGATTATAAGCTGTTGGAGAAAGACCGAGGCTTCTTGGTTCACGTGGCTATGACATACAAGGTAATGAATGCTCATCTAAAGGGATTTCACCAAACTATTGATTCGTGGAGACCCAATAGATATGAAGATGGTTGGAAGATGTCTCCAAAAGATTGGTCTGACAAGCTTGCAGCCATATCGAATGATGAAGAACGAAACGAGCTTATAGATGCACACATAAAAGGACATCCCTCACGAGTGAAACCCGCTGAAAGACTACTCTCAGACCTGGGGGCCCTCAAGCTCTTCTTCCAAGGAGACAAGCCTACTAAAGTATCGATGCGGGCTCGTAGAATCTTCCAAGTAAATTACGGATTTGGAGATGCTTCAGGGGAAGGCTTCGGAGATAACTGGCTTACTACCAAAGGGATATCTTATCATCATGGTACTTGGTGTGCCGATGTATCAAGCCAATCCTCCAACTACCGGGAGTTTCGGAATGTTATCGATGCAATAGAGAGAGAGGGTCAAGCCGGAAGGCTTAAAGAAGCTTTCGTACTGTTTGCCACAGATAATTCTACAGTGGAAACAGCTCTGTTCAAAGGAACAAGCGACAGTCCCAAACTACTCGCTATGGTCATAGAATTTCACTCCTTACAAATGAAATACGGATTTGAAGCCATAATAACACATGTATCCGGTTACAGGATGATCCAACAAGGAGGAGACGGACTCTCCAGGGGAGCATTGAATGAAGGCATCATGGGAGGAGCAAATTTCAGATCTTTCATCCCCTTTCATCTATCCGCAACGGTTCGCGAACCTAAGCTCAAGGAGCTAATAAAGAACATAGTGGGCCCGGGGGCTGACACGAGTTACCTATCCCCTATCGATTGGTTCGGAAGAGGGCATGATGTGGCAGGGGGGAAGATATGCCCCGATAATATGTGGCGACCTGTAATTAAATACGGAACTTACGTATGGGACCCCCCTCCTGCTGCTTGTGATGTGGCTTTAGAGGAGTTAAGAAAAGCCCGAATCAAAAGGCAAAAGTCTACACACATATTCTTGTGTCCAAGGCTCATGACACCGCTTTGGTTGAAGCAATTATTCAAGTGCTGTGATCTAGTTTTAGAAATTCCGCCATCATGCTCCTACTGGAATACTAACATGTGCGAACCCTGTGTACTGGGCTTTTGTTTTCCTTATATCGATGTTGAACCCTGGATCTTAAGGAGCACGCCAAAGATGCTCGAATTACATAGGAAGTTGTCTAAGCTGTGGAAAACAGACGAAGTGGGCCCAGTCAGTGTTTTGCATGAATTTTACTTGGTCAGTAGGCGGCTTCCCCAAATGCCAATCAAGCTGGTGCGGAAAGTGTTATTCTTTGAATAGCAAAATCCCTTTCTTTAAGCTGAAGCCTCCACAGGCTTTACATCCACAAGCTGAAACTAACAAAAAATGGAGGCACAAGAGACATGACAATAAAGCCTTTGACCAGGCCCGACCAGGAGACCATATCCTCACCCCTTTTCAATGCGACATATGCGTGTTTAGAAGACTTAAACAAAGAGATCCAAAGAAGGAATCCGGTGCGGATAAACTACTTCTTGAATACATTAGACGGGCAAACTTAGATGCTTTTTGGAGCCGAGCTTCAAGCACAGTAAGTGCCACTCGATCGACTGTGGAGAGAACAATCTCTTCTTTATCCAAACTAGGATTGAAGGGCCCCTTTTATGATCCTGGCCCATCCCCTCCGTATGATAGCTTTGGTTACGAGACAGCTATTGCAGTTTTAGTCGACTCACTTAAGGAAGGCAAATATGCAAAGGATCACAAACAATGGGAGTCCATAAGAAGAGTTAAAACTGCTGTAGGAAATTTCGAACGAGTAGCCACGGACCCAATACTCAAGGGAGCCTGCTTTGTTTCGGATGACAAAGGTCTCCCCAGCAGACTTCACATGGGCGGAGCAACATCCTATTGGCAGCATCGATTTCTTACTGGATGCAAGGCTAGAATGGGAATAGATAAGCGTCCCAATGTTGCAGTTAGTGTTGATCTTTGGAAACTCATTCTAAATCGTTGCTCTGGCAAAGCCATACTCAACAATAACAATGCTCTCGGGGACACCTGGATAATGGCAGGGGCTTTCCTTGCTTTTGGTTATGTTCTGTCCTTGCGAGGAGCAGAGGGCTTTCTTATGGACATCTATTTGCTTCGAAAACACAAAGCAATCAAGCAAGGTTTTGTATGGCTTCCTCTTTACGGTAAGCTCAAGGGAGGCTCCTCACCGAATGCATACTTAATGAGATCCATCGAAGTTACCGGATCAGGAATTAACATCAGAGCTTGGAGGGACAGGCTCCTAGATGTACATGATAGAGCCGGTAGACACGTAGGACCCGCCTTCTGTGATAAGGATGGTTTCCTACTCCCTGCTCATCGAATGAATGAGTTGCTTTGGGAAGCAACTGAAGAGGTGTTCTTAGAGCAACCCGAACTGTTCCCTAGTGCTATTACATCAACCGATGATATACGGATACACATACAGATCGATAGAACCATGAGGAGAACAGCTAGTACCTCACAGGCCACTAGAGCAAAGGTCAGTGGTGATGACATCGATATTGCTAATCGTTGGTCCAACAAGGAAAGAGCCAAAGGACAGGATCCGAGTGAGCATCTAAGACATCACTATGCCCAACAGGATCTTTTAAATGATTGTTTGAAACGCTTCCAGGGGAAGCTATAGACAACAAACAAACACTCACTCAAAGATCGAGTGAGCTAACACACAAACAGGGGGGGAATTTGGGCTGAGTCGGATGAGTCAATCCTAATCGAATGACCTCCGACTCGGCATTACATCAGATCAATTGGGCTTTTGTCTCATCCTGAGGGGCTTGTCGATGTGATGAGTGAGCTAGTCTCCACAGCACTTAGCCCCCAGCCTGCAAAGAAGCTCAAAATGATCTGCTTGGGGACTGGCACAGATATCACATTTGTGCCAGCTTCATGAGCCCTCTGGGAGGGTTGACACCCCCCCCCGTAGCAGACCATGGGGAATTAGCTATTCCTCCTGGTTTGATTTCCTATGAGCTGAAAACAGTAAGTATCAGCTCCAAAAACTAACTATATAACTGGAAACTAACTAGTTTGACCACTTGGACCTAGTGAGTTTGATTACACGTGGCAAGACGCCTGAAACGCCATCCTAAATACCGATACGATGTAGTGGTAGGACTATGTAATGCATTTTGTACGGGAATTGTGCCGTACCCTTGCTATGATACGAAATTTTTTTATGCAGACGTACAGTACGTAGAACCTACTCAGGTACGAGTACCGGTAGGTACTAACACCTGTCCCCTACGTACCCCTGCCACAGCTATTGGCCCTATCTGGTACCATACGTACCGTGCGTACAGTATGATATGACACCTGCCTTCCCATACAATATGTTCCCCTGAATTTAAGTTGACCCCCGAAATAATCAATCTCTTTTTGATCCCTCGCAATCAAACATGGCGACATCAACCACCCATCAACAACAAAAACGCGATGTGACTAGAATTCGTTCCAGAACACTCTTTCTGCATTCTGAAATACTTCGGACTGACTACACGTACCGTTCTATCTTCCATCAAGAGTTCTCGAACTATCCATCAATTATTCTAAAAAGTGCAAAATTTTCAAGTGCTTCTTGTCCAAACTTCTACATAGGCGGACAAAGCTGATATTTGGACAGAAATATGCGTATCCTCGAGGTAGCGATCGCTCTATTTTTAGCTCCGTCAGAAGCATTTACTACATCATCATCGTCGTTGTCGTCGTCGGATGCGACCTCGCAACAATTCGATTCTTTATTTTCGCCGTTAACAGCCCTCCGTGTCTCAAAACTACGCGACGAGGAATTTTCCACAGCGAACGACGACGATATCAGCGAGCAGGACAAGGCATTACTTCGGGAAACCAAAAAGTCTGAACTGGTTTCCTTGTGTGACCAATTCGATTTATCTGCTACAGGAACGAAGGAGGAATTGCTACTTCGTTTGCGAGCCTACGCCAATTCGAAAGTAGAAAGCGAACGTCAGCGCTTAAAAGATCGAAAAAGAAGAATCGAAGAAGGGGGAGATCAAGATGACCGAGAAAAGTACGAGGTCATTAATGGCGAAGAGGAAGAGGGAGAAGACGATGACGACGATGAACCCTTCGTCTACTTTGAGACTAAAGCTCCAATTCCATACTTTGAGGATAATAGCATGAAGGTAGACGGTGACAAGACAAAGAAGGATGATACCAACAATAATGTTTTCGACCAACAACGCAACAATAATAAACCCATTACCCCCGGTATGCTGACCGCACCCCCTCCCCCACCGGGTGTGGAACCCAATGAAAATGGCGAACGAGTCGTGACCGTTTATTCGACTACTGATCAGAACGATTTGACGGGTGTGGCCGCTGCTCAGCCTGGATCGGCCACTGCCAATGATCCTATGACAGGTCCAGTTGTAGAACCAGAGAACACGCCGTGGGATTTTGAAAACAACCAAAACAATCCCAATGGAAACCAAAAGTCCGAAGCGTCGTCGGAAGAATTAGAGGCTGCCAAAGAAGAAGTCATAGAACTAGTGCAATCTCTGCTGGCAATGACGGGTGCCCCTGGATTTGTTCATAACGATGGGAGCGATGACGACAACGAAGTGTTATCCTCCGTAGGAATCTTTCGGCAGCAGAAATCGTCGTCACTCGGCACTTCTTCTTTCGAGGCCCCAGAAGGGTTTGTAGGGTTTGATCCAACAAAGGTACCAATAGATTCTTTGACTAAGGTATCGAATAGTCTTCGAATGGGCCGTGGGTCAGTCCTCCAAGATGTCTGTCGTGAATTTGAGTTACGCGCAGTTGGATACGATGGGGCGTTTGGGGATGACGAGAAACGAGGCGGTGGCCATTATCGGCAGGTTTCCCTTGTTCGATCGTTCTTAGAAGGATATCGTCGTGCCGAAGTGCGACGAGTGGCCCGTGAGACTGCCACCATGTTGCTCGATCGATTGGTACAAGACGGCATCGAGGGTTTGGACAATACATTATCAGCTATGACCCGCGTTGGTGACGACACAACCCGAGAGGCCGGTGAACTTAACGACTCACTATTAGACTATCTCAACGATGCCATTCGCCAACAAGAACGAAAGGTGGAGCAGATACTTGATACCGTTAAGAAGGTCGAGGAATTAGAAAGATCTGTGGAAGAGTTTGACGGCGATCAACTGGAAAACCTCTGGACAGTGGGTGACGAAGACGGCAAAAGGATCGAGACATTCGATCCAAAGGATCCGAAAAGTAAAATTGCTCTTCAAGACGAATATGAAAAGGATCACAAAGAACGATCGTTGAAGCTCAAAAAGGCAATGTTACCAAAAAGCCCACAAGAAAGGCTTCTTCTCTTGCTTAAGCTCTTGAGAGAACGGGTGAAGATTGAAGCAGCTTTCTCCCAAGATGAGAAGGCGAGAAACCTCCGTGTTTTAGCTTACTGCCTGAATCTAAATTCCGATGAGCTAAGGAAGGAACTAATTGTAAAAGAATTCGGGTCTTCACTTGACGTAAGTAGGTTGAGGAGATTCCAAAGAACCATCCGATTGATCTATCCTTTCTGTTGAGAGGGAACGAATTTCCTTCTTCTGTTCGCCTTATATGATGAATGATGATTCTTGCAATTCACTGCTCACAATGYCTGCTGTTTTTCCCTCATAACTAACAGAGACTAGATTCATTTTCCGAGTTGGTTTCCAGCTCGATAGAATACGGGGAAAGCACAGCCCATCAAGTGCAACCGAATAAGGTTGTTACTCTTAACATCCCTCTCTTAGAAAGGATCCTAGTTGTCACAAAAAAAGTAATCGATGAACAATCTTGGAAAGCGGCTGCCGGAAGGTCGTAGGGGAGTACATTTTATAAATTAGAACTTGAATGTTTTCGACTCCTACTTTGTGCAATCCCGACCGATGCTCTAAAATAGTAGATAGGCACTTCCGACTTTTCTCCTGACGTAGATAATATTTCTACAGCAGTTTTCTAATGTAACAAAAACTATTAATAACCTTCTTAACATAGTAGACAAAAGAAAATCAATTCACGATAAGCACTTGGAGAGCAGCCTGCAATAGGTGGTTAAATCTTTCGCTAACGGCGCTCGGTATTTTAAGACCATGGCCTCAAGATTCATTTCCTATGGATTCATGCTCTTTAAGTCTTTTGACGGTGCCTTAACCTTGTCCTTCTTATCAGATGCACCGTCGGAGTTCACGGGTCTAGAAAGAACCATTAAGAGAGTTCCAGTATTGTACTTCATACCTCCCTTGACGGAGTCATGGATAACATTCATCAAGTCAACCCAGTGTTTCTCGTCTTCTCGACTCATGCGGGCGTAACCCTTGTTCGAAATATAGTTGAAAGCCTGTAAAAGAATGGTAGAACCAAACGGTGAGATTTAATCAGGCTTCGAAAAACAAGTAGAGTATCCAACACAGACAGGTGTGACGACAGTGGTTAACCTACCTCTTCGAAGAAATCGAAGTAAACACGGTTTCCTTGTTCCTCGCGAACAAGGAAATCTCCCTTTTCAAATCCAGCAGAAATGGTTGCAATGTTCATGGCTACAGGTCTTTCGGATACGTCGTCGATCATTTTTCTAGATGTCTCTAGTGAAGTGAGGATAATCGGAGGTGATGACTTCAGGTGATAAAGTCGAGTTGGACACAAAATAAACGCGTTTTGTTCTAAAACGGTATTTTTTGGCAACACTTTTGAGCCGTTGCTTGAACGATGCGCAAGTCGGTCATTTTTCAAAATCAATATTCGAAGATCTACGTCCATTAATATCCAATMTAATGGTACTAAATGTAATTCTGTTKCCATCTACCTAAACTCGTACGAGTACCGTGCCGAAGCTCCCCACACTGTTTTCGACCGTGTTGGACATCTCCAGGGAGTCATAATTCAAAAAATAGAGATGGTGTGTCACATGCTTACGAGAGTTTTGGAAGCGAGGGACAGACGCAAGACGAGGAAACCGGAAACCCTACTAGCATCGTACGTACGTACCGATACCACTTCACTATGAGTAGGTTGGAGTTCTACCGGTAAATATCGAGTTGATTTTCTGACTACTACTGTCGTACTAGTAGTAGTTATGACTCTTGCACCTTCTTCAAGGATTTGCCGGGCTGCTGCTGCTACTGCAAACATAGTATTCACTACAAGGAGACATGGGGCTCAATGCTCTGCTGTCAAAAGAGCTTCGGTGGTCGCAAGCTTTTCAGCTGGTGAGGAAGAACAAAGCAACAGAAAACTGCCGCAACAAGGAGAAGAAAGACGTCACAGGAGGATGACGAGGATGACAAGTACTAGTAGTACTACAACACCAGCAGCAACAAAGATGACGATCGTTAGAAAGAATGAGAATGTTGCTGCTGCACTGTTGATGCCACCACCAGCACTAMTAATGCTGATGCTAGTACTAGTAAAAGAAAAGTTAAATACTCCTATTTCTTGTTATTTAACCTTCTTGTGAACTAGACAAAGAGGAACTACTAAATAGTACTACCACTACTTGTAGTAGTAGTAGGAGGAGGTACTACTACCTCTGTCCCAAAATGATAGCACTACTGCTCTATTTTTCCGGAAATTATTTTCCAGAAATATTTTCCACCAGTATTTAAATAACAGTTTTTGGAGTTCTTGGCCATTCCATTCCACAAATGACTGCAAATGACTGTCTACAACACATAGAATCAGTACTGAAACTTGAAATGTGCATGCGCGTAATTAAAAATTATTTCTTTTATTTTTCACATGAAAATACACTGTATTAACACAGGAGAATCTAAAGTTTACATTGACAATGGTACCAGGCACCTCTTTTGCTGAACAAGAATTGCCAATACAAGAAAGTTATCCATACTGAAGAGAATTAAGGCCTCAAAAATGCGTCTCTCTTAGCTATGAGCCATGTGCAAGTAGAATAGCAGGGTAGCGAATGACCATTTGTAAAACCCAACTGACAGTAAAATCACATTGATATATCCCAAAAAAATCCCTGTTTAACAAGTAAATGCCACAAGTAAATCAGACACTATACATTTGTACTAGATCTGTTAACAAACAAAAAAGAAGCATTGAAATCAGCCACCATGATTTATTGAGCTTATTTCAACTCAAGAAGAGGTGCAAAGTGTACTTTTAGTATTTTGGGACAGAGGTAGTAGTAGTAGTAGTAAGTTACCTCTACTAGTAGCAAGTAGAGGAGGAGGTAAACTGCTAGTAGTAGTAGTTGCTCTGAGGGGCAGCAGTAATTATAGTAGGGATATTAGTACTACTAGTACTAACAGAACCAATACTGGCCTTTTGGGCAATTCAGTGTTGTGCTGTCATCTGGTTTGCCAACCTTGTTACTACCTCACTACAAGAACTAGACATGGTGCTGGTGATACTAGCTACTACTAGTAGTATTAAGTGCCATCATAATTAGGAGGACAGGTTGCCTTTTTTCAGGGATGAATTATGTGTCCCCCCAAAAAGTTACTAATTCTGAAACAAAGGAGGAGCTCCTCCTAGTATCAATTAGCTGCCTTGCTGCTCATGACTCAATATATACTGTTTGCAAAAACCCATCACCTTATCTTCACCAATCATAGGAGCAGTGGCATAGTAGTACTACTAGTAATGCTACCACTACTAGTAGTGGTAATTTCAATGCTGAAAGGGATATACATGACATTTAACAGTACAACTACTAGTAGTCCTAGAGCAAATACCAAATACTCTTCATTTTGACTTCACATCAAGAACTGCAATTAAATTGTTCACCACCAGCTTTAGTACTAGTAGTATTGAACCTTAGTAATTGCTCATACACCTTTTTTCTGCTGTCTGTCGTGGTTGGTTAGACTCAGTGAAATGTGACCATAAGAGTAGAGCAGTTGCATATTATGATACTGCAATTCTCCACTTAGATCTGAACTCAAACCAACAAATGGAAACATACATTTTTTAAAAAAAATCTTCCTATTTTACTTTGTGAAATAGAAGAGGCGCACGGAAGGCCAGAATTGTCACTTTTTCAGGAGAATGATGCTGCTACTAGTAGTACTCGCTCCAAAGAACGGTACCTCCAAATAGGCACGATGCTCTTGTACCGTACTACTAAGGTTCYCCGACTATTCAGTGATGATGAATGAAAATTGTAACAAACACGCGCAAATATATTTTCTAAAATCATGATAACCAGTAGAACACAACCATCCTTTTTCATAACTCTCTGGCAGCTGGTAATTCGATTTCGCTTAGCCATTCATCGAGAGCAGCTTCGACAGTGGGGAATGCCTCAGATGCAGCCGCTGCACCCTTCTTTTTCAGAGTCTTTTGGAACGCCTCGACCTCTTTTGCAAAAGCCTTGTATTTCTACGAATGAAAGCAAAATATGATTTATGAAAAAGACGGAAATCCATATGTTGTTTTTTGGTTTCATCGTGAGTGATTCGGATTTTCATTGTCGTTTTTTCTACAGATACAAGAACATCTTGGTTTGCCTTTGCAACACATCGTGACCACTAGGGGAAAAAATAACCTTCACGTACCTTCACAGCTGGTAGACTATCAGGAGCAGTACTGCTGCTTCTTCGAAAAGCATTCGATAAGAGATAACCTGCTGCTGTCAGATCCTTCCAGCTCCCACCGTCTTCGCTAGAAAAATACTCCTTCGCAACCTTCGAATCTCCGTTCCTGAGGCCATCCTCAGCCTTCAGAAGGCCCGTTACAGATTCCTTTACACGTTCGTAGTAACGCTTTTTCGCGGAAAGCAAATATGCTCCTCCTGCCGTGGCTCCCCCAGATGCCTGAGCCGATGTTGGCAACGTCGCCAACGACGGAAGTACAACAGCCGGAATCAAAGCAAGCTTGCTGAGGAAAGATCGTCGTTCTTGCAGATTTCTTTCTTGGGAATCAAACGGTTGCGATGATTCATGGAGGGAAACGTGGGTGTAAATGGATCCAAGCTGACTTCGACTGGAAAAAATCGCAGCATTCGATGCTTCTTGAAAGGCGTAGGCTTGAATGACGAGAAGTGAAAGACAAGCTGTCAATGAAGCGATCATTGTCAAACTTGGCATTTCTGATTGGTTTTCTCTTGCTCTGAATCAAATAATGAACGTGTGTATGCAACTTTTTGTGGAACTTAGAACAGGTATCGTAGTGGCAGCAATAATAGTACTCTACAAGTAATATTATCCTCGTGGTCGTTGCCCTTCTTTGAAATAGGGGAGAGTGTTTGTTGACTSTTTCGGAGTGAAATCAGAAATTTTGTCGTTGACACTTCAATATGAAATACGAAAAGAAGATCGGAAGATTCATGTTCTTCTTTTTTCATTAGTTCCTGGTTCCTGTAGATTTTGAAGTGAAACAAAGTAGTAGAAGGACAGTACAGTATGGTACCGTACCGCATGCAGTACCGTACGTACTGTACCGTACGCTTAAACAAACGAACATCACATCATCTGAAATCACAACAGTACAAAGTTCGT